TTTCATAACTGTGTTCTTAATAAACAATAGTCTTAATAAGCGTGGTGGCTTATCGGTGACTTCTGTAAACCCACTGAAATAAGTAAAATTCTTGACATTTGAGATTACAACATTCTCCACATTGCCTAAACTAGCAATTTTATTTATTGTGTGTAATTCAGATCGTGTTCAAATAACAAACAAGCCCCTTACTGGGAACCTTGTATGGAAGCTCCAAGTAATTCCGTTTCCCCGAGATTCCTACCCATTAACCGCAAAAGGGGCCCATTAAAGTGTACTCTTCAGTCAGTCATATCCACAAGTTTTCCATGCATGGTAAAAATTCAAGAAGTACATTTATAAATACCAAGCGCAAGTTAAGATCAAGCATTAAACAATGACTGACAGTGAAAACCTGTTAACACCAAGGGAATATATCTGTTCGTCATTTACATTTAGGAAATTGATTTGAGTTCGTGATAGATGATAGCTGGCTATATTTGATATATCCAGTACTTATATGAACTGTTTCAGGTGATGGAACAGTTGAACTTCTCTGTGAACTTCTGGATGTATGTGATGTGTAATCGGTCGTTCAGGAAGAGGGTGCTTGAGGTCCTGAAGTGTTGGAGACGGACGACGCCACGTGCGAGTGACGTCACTCGGTCAATGGTTACCATGGACACATATAACAGCGCCTCAAGGTTCTAACTTGATGGATGTTCTACACCCTACAGTATTCATAAAATAGGGGGAGAAGTATCCATATAATACTACCTTCAACACACTACATATATATTGTATGAGGGGGCGAATAACATATATATTCTCTACAATACACTACACGTATATGGTATGAGGGGGAGAAATACACATATATTCTCTACGATGCATTATATATGTATATGATAAGAGGGGAGAAGTACCCTATATTACCTTCACTGCACTATTTATTTATATGGTATGAGGGGAGAAATACCCATATATTACCTGCAATGCATTATTTATTCATATGGTATGAGGGGAGAAATACCCATATATTACCTTTAATGCACTATTTATTTATATGGTATGAGGGGAGAAATACCCATATATCACCTTCGATGCACTATTTATTTATATGATATGAATAGGAGAAATACCCATATTATATCATTGACTCGTGGTGGTAGACTTCATAATCTAAATCCAATCTGTAGTATTATCTGCTTGGACCATTTCGAAGCATATGCTTTTCATTGCATTTTGACTATTATGAGTTTACCTGTCGATAAGGAGTGAGTGAGTGAGTGGGGTTTAACGCCGCTTTTAACAGTATTCCAGTTATATCGCGGCGTGGCAGCTTAATGTGGGAGGAAAGCCCGAAGTGATGCAGGTCTCGGACGTTTACCACTTCGGTGAAACCCACGAGCACGGGTATGGTGCTGACAAAACTAGAAACATAATCGGGGCGAATCGGGATTCGAACCCACAATCATAGCTTTCTGGCGTGCCCAAGGGACGCAACTCTGCACAGCGAATCGCGGCGCCTTAGACGACTGGGCCACCCGTGCCCCCACCTGTCGATAAGGAATTTATCGAATAGGCAGTTTCAGTAAATCGTCTTTTACTGTTTATGCTAAGAAACCTATGTATGATTCAAATAATGTTTTTTTGTTGACGTCATGGTTGCATTTGAGGAAGATGGTGCTATAAACAAATATGAGTGATCCCTTGTTGACAGTTAACGAGTATTCCATCAATTCCAGACACTAATTACAATGCGTCATCTTCAAACTGTGAGAACTGTTACACGAGAAGAAAAATGTAGACCGTGTGGTCGATCCTTCGGAATAAAATTTGTATTAATGTGTGTATCGTTCTGACAGGATTTTGTTTCGACGATATGCTTACACATGCTAACAAATACATCTACTTTCTGTACACGTGAACGCGATTGGCATTTCAAATCATAGGGTACGTACTGAATTAGCTTGGTCAGCTGTAATGAAATTGGATAATTGACACGAATGCTACATCTTGTCTGCGAAGTTGAAGTAATGTGTAGACCACGTGCCCCTGCCCCATGAGAACTGCACCTGCGAGTCCCTATTTCAACGTAAAAACTTTTATTTTCTGCGCAAATAATAGAGAACTGTTCCAGACAGACGGACAGACAGACAGACAGACAGACAGACAGACAGGCAGACAGACAGACAGGCAGGCAGGCACCCAGACAGACAGGCAGGCAGGCAGGCAGACAGACAGACAGACAGACAGGCAGACAGACAGACAGGCAGGCAGGCACCCAGACAGACAGGCAGGCAGGCAGACAGACAGACAGACAGACAGGCAGACAGACAGGCAGGGTGGTTTATGGATGGATGGATGGATGGATGGATGGATGGATGGATGGATAAACATTTAGGTCAGATGTAATTGCTTCATTATTGGTTCAGGCAACAAAACAAGTGACGGTATTTAGACAGGCAGGCAGGCACCCAGACAGACAGGCAGGCAGGCAGGCAGACAGACAGACAGACAGACAGGCAGACAGACAGACAGGCAGGCAGGCACCCAGACAGACAGGCAGGCAGGCAGACAGACAGACAGACAGACAGGCAGACAGACAGGCAGGGTGGTTTATGGATGGATGGATGGATGGATGGATGGATGGATGGATGGATAAACATTTAGGTCAGATGTAATTGCTTCATTATTGGTTCAGGCAACAAAACAAGTGACGGTATTTAAGCTACGGTGGCGACAGAGTGTGTGTGGATGAATGTCCGCGCTGGGTGAGTTTTAAGGGCATCGGCCATGGAGGTTCGGTTAGTTGGTTCTCGCTGGGTGAGTTTTAAGGGCATCGGCCATGGAGGTTCGGTTAGTTGGTTCTCGCTGGGTGAGTTGTAAGGGCATCGGCCATGGAGGTTCGGTTAGTTGGTTCTCGTTGGGTGAGTTGTAAGGGCATCGGCCATGGAGGTTCGGTTAGTTGGTTCTCGCTGGGTGAGTTGTAAGGGCATCGGCCATGGAGGTTCGGTTAGTTGGTTCTCGCTGGGTGAGTTGTAAGGGCATCGGCCATGGAGGTTCGGTTAGTTGGTTCTCGCTGGGTGAGTTGTAAGGGCATCGGCCATGGAGGTTCGGTTAGTTGGTTCGCATCTGGAGTACCCCAAGCACCCCAGTCTTAATTAATTAAGAATTTAGCACAAAATAATTTTCATAATCATACGAAACACCTATCAAGCAGCATCTATTGTACGATTCCGACTACATCATAAGCATGTGTTTGTGATTCACTTTCAATTTTGGATGATTACAGTTGTTTGCAAACTGTGGGACTGTCAGAACTAATGGCGTCATATATACAGATGGTACTTGCTGTTCCCCTGCCTGTCGCTCGGCATAAGGGGCTAAAACAAGGACTGTCAGTATACTATGTCCGAGCGGGGTTTTCATGTTAAACTATGTTATCTCAGTGGGCTAGCACTATTAAATCGGCATTAGTCCGGACTAGTACAAGCAGCCGCGAGCACGCACGCCGCTATGTAAGTACAATAATCTAGAAAGCGACGTTACACCCCATTTCATCTCACCTCGCCTAAAGAATTCATCCCGTCAAGAAAGCTTCTGCTTCCGGCTGACGTGGAGATTGAATAAACTGCCAAAATTTTCTTGAGAGAATCTTGAGAGAAAGTTGAATTGTATCCTACTTCTCGTGACCAGGTATAATCTTTTTCTGCTCTCAGATTGTTTAAATCCTTTGACGTCTGTATGAACTCTTCCCTTCATGAACAAATCTTCTCATTAAGACAGGACTGAGACTCTGCTCTGTTCGAATTGAGCTGTTCCAACATGGCGTCTAGCTTGGCTTCTGTATTCGTTTTGAAGAAGCAAGTGTGAGGCCGTGCCTGCACAGTAAGTGAGAGAGAACAATTCAAAATTGTACAACCCCTTGTATACTGCCTTTATCACGCCACCTAGGGGCACATAATCACCTTGCTTCTTGGCATACCGCTAGGAGAAAACAATTTCTATCTTATTTATTCTTCAAAAGACATACATGCTATATAATTTTCATGAGTGTTTTCTTTTCATCAGAAAATAAAAAGTATTGTAAAATGTAGTACTTATTTTGTGGAGTTTAGCTTGTAAGAAATATACATACATGTATTTAGTTTATATATATAGTTTAGATGTTTAGTTTAGGTGTTGATATTTAATAGAACAAAGTGCATATATGCTATATTCTGACATAAACAATAGGCTTTGAAAATATTGGACACTTTAAAACAATTTCCAGGTGAGTTTCGCGGTCAGGGTCCGGGTCAGGGTCTGTCCTGGCGGGGGATGTGAGAATGTCATGCTGGTTTGCGAACATCTGGTATTATCGCTGTTGTATAGTGATTCATAAATAGATGTACCATGTAGTCGGAATCCTCGATTGGTAGATTATTTCTCATGAATATAGAAAGGGTTTTGTCGCTTTTATTCCTTTGAATCATTACGATGTGACAAGCGATTTCAGAAATTTATTACTTTGTTTGACAGACGCGTATCAGTTTTGTTTGCGAAGGCCACAACATACTGACTACTGACGTTCGTTGGAGGCACTGTCTTGATCTCGTTATGCACTGAACATTAACTACCGGGCTAAAGAAACCCTGGAAAATTGGATGCGACGAAACAACTACGATCGTTATTAAAACGTTACCTGAAACACTGCAAACTTAAGGTCAAAACACAACAATGATACCAGTATCAGATACACCACCATCGAAAAACGAGTTTGTTTGTTACAGTTTAAGCCATCATTAAACAATGGTGTATACTTTCCTTTGCCCGACAGTTTTAGTAATTTACGGTAACCTATTCCCAGCTAAATATTTTTTCATGGATGTTTTCATTCATTTTTTCATGGATTCGTGACAGCTTTCTTCATATGATAAAAGAGATAAACTATCTGTGACGAAAACACATACCCACTGTTAATTCCCACTATACGTGGAACACTACTCACATTTAAAAAAGGATGAACTATTACAGACACACTTGCATTTATTCTCCGAATGTGTACACGTGCATGCAGGCTACAAGACAAAGCAGCAGGACATCACACTGCCACGATTTGAAATAAACTTTATGTTATTCTATCCTCAGGGAGCCATTTAATACCTGTGCGTATATGAAAAAACTACATGAGAAGAAATACAATATACAACAACACGCAAAAACAACAAGTACATGTTTGACAAATGGTATATGTGGCCATCTGTTATAAGGCGTCATATTCCCATGTTTTAGTGTGAACAATTGACTTGCCTTTACTAACGTCACATAAATACTTTATACCAAGCGGTATAGTCTAGGGGAATTCATACTTGGTTCTCTGCGAAACAAATCCGATATTTAAACTATGTTAACAGCCAATTAATAATATTACTCATGAGAAGTGAGGTTCTATTAGAATACGTTCCCACACTTAATTGCTTCTGATGAGGCGACTAAATTGGATCGGGTGGCCAGGCTCGATGACATGGCGGTTGGACGTCTCATCCTACCCCGGCTGTGTGGAACGATGTTCATTATGTTGTTGAGGGCAACGTAAAAAATCAAATAATTTGTACCAAACATTCTGTGCATGAGTTTATTCGACAAATGGGAATACTCGTTTCTCTGTGAAAGGAAAGTCCTTACTTTGAACTAGATTGGCTACTTTTTGCTTGTGGGTGCAGGTGCTAAAACGATCTCTTGCTTGTTTTAAGGATCGACTAAACTGGATCGGATGGTCGCGTCCGACGGCTGAAAGCGTGTCATCCTATCCTGACTACATGTGACGTGGTTCATAATGCCAACAACACAAGATTTATGTAACGTTTATGGATATAAAAACATGTTTTTCTATCGTTTATACTTGAAATGGTATGTCTAGTCCATACTTAATGACAGCAAGCGGAAATACAGCAGCCAAACCTCTGAATGCAGTGCAAACCAACAAACAAACAGACAAAATAATACCATATCTAACCATTGAGTATTAAACAAAGGTAAAGACTAAATGATGTATTGAAAGTTGGGATCTCCGTGTGTGCGCATCCCCGCCTATCAGTTGTTCTTGTAGACTGTTGATACTGCGGTTTGCACGCTGGAGGATGCATGACTCTCTGACCTCCTGTCCTGAAGGAACTTGCAGCCCAGGATCTGGCCAAGTCGACGTCTGAAGGCTCGGCTGCACATGACATACATGAAGAAGTTGATGGAGTAGTTGATCTGCTCCATCACCTGCAACAAGACACGGATGCCTGAAGCATTCTCTGTGACAACGTCTCAGACTGACACCGTTTTCGAAAGTCGAAATGTATAAGGTAGAAGAGAGCGTTCCGAAATAATTAGGGGCGGTCGGGTAGCCTAGTGGTTAAAGCATTCGCTGGTCACGCCGGAGAGTCGCCGTCAATACTTTTAGTAACTGCAGTAGGGTTGCACTAGACGCCCGAAAGCAGTTACGACAACAGTCAATGTCGTTATATTTTTCTATCTCTCCCCCGCTGTCATAAAATTCATTTCATACTGCGACTACACTATTGTTTCACTATAAGGTATCCCGATGGTATTTTTTATTATTATTTCTGGAATGTCTTGCATTTGGTATAAAACGAGGGACTTGTCACTCAGCCAGACCCTAAAACTGTTCATGGTTATATCATGTTCACTATTCTTCCAACCAAATTTCCGCCGATCTTCACAAGATCGTTTACTTTTATCAGGGATAGGAATCTTGACATTGTTTACATGCAGGGATAGGTCCCGCAAAGATCCGTTGAAGAATAGGTCTTCAGCAACCCATGCTTGCTGTAAAAGGCGACTATACTCGTCGTAAGAGGCGACTTACGTGATCGGTTTCGCTATATTGTAATCTTTACGACTGAGTAAATATGGTACAAGAATTTGTTGTCGCAGTCTCACAACTAAATTGTATGGCCGTTTCTTCACAGCGCACATAAACGTCCTGTCTACATCAACAAATATATAAACTCTCTGTACTATGAAAATGAATACAAACATAAGAAACCACGTGAAATAATTGATCGGTTGTTGGTTGGTTTGTTGTTTAACGCCGCACTCAGCAATATTCCAGCTATATGACGGCGGTCTGGAAATAATCGAGTCTTGACCAGGCAATCCAGTGATTGACATCATAAGCATCGATCCACGCAATTGGGATTGATGACATGCATCAACCAAGTCAGCGAGCCTGACCACCCGATCCCGTTAGTCGCCTCCTACGACAAACATAGTCACCTGTTACGGCAAGCATGGGTTGCTGAAGATCTATTCTACATGTTAAACATCTGAGAAGCTTAGGAACACCGACACATGTGGGTCCATTCTCGGTGTCCACCTAAGCTGTAACAGCTAAATGCGGCAAAACCCCACTTATTCACAAATTGTCGGGACATGAACATTTGTCTTCGCTTTAACCACAAGGCGACCGCACTACACCATCACGAATAGTAGACCACATCCGAGTTTAGTGACTTTGGTTTGGTTTAACCCCACCTGCAACGGCATTTCAGTTATCTACGGTTCGATGTGAGAGAAAAGTCCGAAATCATGTGGGTTTTGGAGAAACCCACGAGCACAGGTATGGTGCTGACAAACCGAGAAACATAATCAGGGCGAATCTGTGATTCGAACCCGCAACGATAGGTTTGTTGTATGTCCATTCAGAGCGCATTGCGGTTCCTTAAACGACTAGGCCAATAGTACCCACAACACCTTTAGATTATTTGAATATTATACATCATTGAAGCAAAACAAGTTTTGAAACAAATTAATGCTCTCGTCAGATCTCGAAATAATATGGCTTAATATATACTGAACCGCAAAAGAAACGTCACCATGGGTAGATATATGAGAACCCTTATTTGTCCAAACACTGTAAGCATACTTTGAGACATATCAAAAAGATGAAATTTGGCAAAACTGGTCATTGAGGTTGAAATTAAAGTGTCAGATGTTCTTAAACACAACTCTAGTCTCTGAGAAAATGGCATCACAAGTCAATATCTCGTGTGTTCGCCATGTGCATTGATGACTGCCGTGCCACGTCGATACATGGAATGGATGCGGCGGTTGATGAAGGCCATAGGCAATTGAGCCCACACTCTGAGGAACGCCTGACGCAGTTCAGCTGCAGTTGTCGGCCTTGGTCGGACGTCATTCAGCCGTCTTTGAATCTCGTCCCACAGGTGCTCAATGGGATTTAAATCGGGACTGAGGGCAGGCCACTGCATGGTTCTGATGCCATTATGCTGGAGGAAGTCTCTTGTTGCTCTCGCAGCGTGGGCACGGGCGTCATCATGCTGAAACTCGTGGTTGCGGCGACGTGCCAAATAAGGTATGGCGTGTGGTCTCAAAAGTTGATCACTGTACCGAGCTTCTGTGACACCATTGCCTCTCCTTGGACCGATGTTCTGGAAGACCAAAGGGCCGACACTCTGTGCAAGACCAATTCCACCCCACACCATGATGCTCGGATCACCCCAAGAGCCTCTCTCAACAACACAAGCATCCGAATAACGTTCCCAACGGCGTCGCCAGACTCTCTCTCTGCCATCTGCTGTTGAGATACAGTAACGGCTCTCGTCTGAGAAGAGGACTCTTCTCCACTGCTGGTGGCGCCAATGCTGGTGCAGGCCACTGCATGGTTCTGATGCCATTATGCTGGAGGAAGTCTCTTGTTGCTCTCGCAGCGTGGGCACGGGCGTCATCATGCTGAAACTCGTGGTTGCGACGACGTGCCAAATGAGGTTGGCGTGTGGTCTCAAGACTTGATCAATGTACCGAGCTGCTGTGACACCATTGCCTCTCCCTGGACCGATGTTCTGGAAGACCAAAGGGCCGACACTCTGTGCAAGACCAATTCCACCCCACACCATGATGCTCGGATCACCCCAAGAGCCTCTCTCAACAACACAAGCATCCGAATAACGTTCCGCACGTCGTCGCCAGACTCTCTCTCTGCCATCTGCTGTTGAGATACAGTAACGGCTCTCGTCTGAGAAGAGGACTCTTATCCACTGACGTGGTGTCAGAATGGGTCCTCGGTGTGGCCTGTGACAGTGATGGTGTCTGCTCGTCAATCGACTACGCACGGTGCCCGCACTAATGTGTCGCTGGTGTGTCCCCATGGTCTGAAGACGCTGTCGCACAATCTGATGATCCTGACGTCGGGTGGTGACCCTTGGTCTTCCACTGCGTTGTCGGTCGTGTGTAGTGTTGGTGGTCTGGTACCGTTGCTGAAGCCTGTTTATGGTCCTTGTGTGGACTTGAAATGCATTTGCTACTTGCCGGGCGGTTTATCCAGCTTGCAATCGTCCAAGGGCTTGGTGTCGCTGATTTCTTGTCAATCTTGGCATGTGGTAGCAATTCAATAACGAATGAATGTTATCCGATCTGGGTGGATTTTTATAGGGCAAGAAATGGAGGAACGCATGTGCATTTCAATTTGCACAGAACTCACGTGCATCGTTACCATGGCCGTTGCCGTGACGCGTTTGGGCGATCAGTTTTCTTTACCATCTGCTTTGGTTTTTTTATCATCTAATTTCATTTTTCTGGACAAGGTAATGTTAAATTTTAGAAACTTTGACAAAAATTACCCAGATATTTAATGACAACTTTTCATGCAATGTTACTTGGGTGACGTTATTTTGCGGTTCAGTATAGTTATGATGGAGTGACCTCACTTAAGAGTCTTTTCAAAATGTTGTTTTTAATGTCAACGTACCTGCAGTGTTTCCCGAACCACAACCATCTTAAAATCTGTGCTCTCGAAGAAGTTTACACCGAGTGTAAAGGCAATGTTATGAGCGATCGAGATGGGCGTGACGAGGGTGAAGAAAGCCAAGGTTACTCCTAACAACATGGCGGTCGTCTTGTTAGTCTCGTCTTGCTGAGTGTCCTGCTTGTTTGACATCTTTCTCCTCAGTTTAGAATGTCTCGCCAGCTGGAAACAGATGGCGGGCGTCAGGACAAGCAAGATCGCGCTCGGGACCAGCGAGTAGATGAACGTCCCGAGGATTAGGAACACTCTCGCCATTGCGGCAGTTTCTGGAGTGGCGTAGTTTGGCACACATACCCCATTTACAATTCTCACGGAAAAGGTCCAGAATCCGTTATAAAGGAAAAGGCCAGTATACACCCCTGCTATGCCAATCAGTGCATTTCGTTTTGTGCAGATCAATTTAGTTCGTAGCGGGTACAAGACAGCAACAAACCTCTCGAAACAGACAAAGACTATGAACCAAGAGGAGGACATCTTGCTGGTTTTGTGCATTATGAAAAAAAAGGAACAACCTCCGGAGGACAGGGCTCTGACGTCATACCCGACCCAAACTCTGAAGAACAACCTATTGAAGGGGATGATGCAAGAGAAACAGGTATCGGATAATGCCATGACAATGAGAATTAGGCTGCTAGTCATCGATCTGAACTTCTTCCCAAGCATCACTGCTATGGTGAGACTATTCCCGAATACGCTCAGTATAAAGAAGAGGGGGACTGTTATGATACCAATGTAGTCCGACTCGTTGACCTTCTTCCCATCGCCTCCATGGCCATCGGTGCCATTCAACTGTTCCCTGTCGCATGTAATGTTGTCATCTGCGGTGATCTCTATGATGATGTCTCCCGTCAGACAGATCCGTGTTCTGTTGACGTGGGTGGAGTTGTCGGTACCATTAGGCATCAAAGATGAACTGTTGTCTGTAAGCTCCACGGGTACTATGCACAAGAGGAATGCGATCCCAAGATAGAAGGCCATTTCTGAAACGTTGAAAGGCGAAATTGTATGAAATTACGATTATGCTATGGTAGAACTATAATGCTTTGAAAACTCTAAATTAACGTTTAGTTGAAAATTGGAAACACAGTTTTTTATCATGTTGGGTATCCGTAAGAAATACCATCAGAATGAAGCATTAGCGTTTCAGTTTTGTTTGTTTGTTTGTTGTTTAACGCCGCACACAGCAATATTACAGCTATATGACGGCGGTCTGTAAATGATCGAGTCTGGACCAGACAACCAAGTAATGACATCATGAGCATCGATCCACGCATTTGGGATACGATGACATGCATCAACCAAGTCAGCGAAGCTGACCATCCGATCCCGTTAGTCGCCTCTTACGACTAGCATAGTCGTAATAAACTGAAAGGCAAAAGAAAGTATACCGAGTTGTTGTTTTTTATGTAATTGTAAATTGATGAACTGTTGTTAAATTTGATTACGTCTATTTAACCATCACTCATTCCTGCAACAGTTTGCAAATTGTAATCTGCGGGTGGGTAATTTTGTGTAAAAATAAATTGGTTCACTAAAGACTCGGGTAAGACATGTATTTCAACCACGTGTACCCTACAATGTTTGAAATTTAAATATGGGCCGAAGAGAGCCAGTTTATTGATTTCCAAAGATAACATGTCCAATATACCATCATTATTGGTTTGTTTGTTTGTTTGTTTGTTACTTAACGCCGCTCTCGGCAATATTCCAGCTAAATGACGGCGGTCTGTAAATAATCGAGTCTGGACCAAACAATCCAGTGATAAATGTTTGAATTCATAAATCCTTATCAAAAGGTAATAAACCGCCAGGCAAAAAACGTATACACTTGAAAATTGGATTTGACCAAACAATTAAAAACGTCATCAAACGTTACTAACATTAACAATAACTGTGATACTATCAAGTACATCATCATCGAAAAAACATTTCTTGCTTGTTTGATTTTTAGCCATCATCAAACATGGGTGCTTTCTTTTGTCCGGCAGTGTAAATTTCAAGTACGAATATACTTGAATTTCAAAGGTTGCTTTTAAAAAGAATTTTCACGTTGATATTATACAGGGATTTAGGTTGGAAAACAAAAAACATGAAGTTACGGAACAATAAAACGTTTTAAATTTACATTGGGTCACACTGTCACCGACAATAATCCAAACAAAGAAATTTGACTCTGCACTGATTCGGTGTATTGTTTATATCTACTGTTTGAAACATTCAAGCTAACTCACCTGACTTGCGCTGGGACGTGAAACAACGTTGACCAACTTCCAACCGATGAGTCCTCGGTCTGGCTGTTCAGCAAGGAAGCCCTCTATGTATACGTACTGACGGTTGTATACGTACTGACGGTTGAGGCACATTATATTACGACAATACATTGCTGCTGCTGGCAATATCAATTATGTACTTATCGATATTAATATGTACAGTCGTTGCCATAATAAAAGAAAATATTGTCACGTAGCTTTTCTGATTAAAATTATATTAATCACCGCCATGACGTCTAGCCGCGCCTAATTGATGAGCATTGGGGTACAAACAGAGGTTGATGAGATTATGGTGGAGAAATATTATTGTGTTTTCATTTCTAGAATTGCAACCCTTCATCAGTTTCTCTGTTCTTTTCTTGTACTTTATTTCGTTAGTATCGTGATTAAATATCCTAGTATGTATTATTTTGCATAGAGAGCTGATTCTATGAACAGGATGATAAATGTCTTGCAGTGTATGCATGTGATGCGTAGATATACAAAATAGGTCTGCCACATTTCTAAAAGTATTTACTTAAAATGTCTCTTGGCTGCCCGGACTCCCCGGGTCTTGGTACAGATGCCATTCGCCTGTCAGCGTTTTGCCCATGCAAGTTTTTCATCAAAACAAAACGTTTAAGACCTGAATGCCACGTTGAACAGTATTGCAGTTATATCTCCACTTAATGTGAGAAGAAAATGTTTACCACATTTGTGAAACCAACGACCACTGGCATGGTGCCGAGACAACAAGCATCTAAAATTCGAACCCACGATCCTAGTTTCCTGGGATGCCCACAGGACGCACGTCTACACGCCAATTGGTGGCGCCTTAGACGCCTGGGTCACCATTGGCATCACTATACCGAGCTGACACAAAGTGATACTTAAATACTTGTAAAAGCTGTAGAGACCCAACTGTCACACATGAAAATGCAACCAACATGTCCATGGCAACAATTAGATGCCTACCTGCATATACACCTGGAACGTAATTAGCGAGTGAGTGAATGAATATGCTTTTACGCTGCTTTTAACAATATTCCAGCAATATCACGGCGGGGGACACCAGAAATGGGCTTCACACATTGTACCCATATGGCGAATCGATACGAACCAGCGAACGCCTTAAACACTAGGCTACCCGACCGCCCCTAGGAATTAATTAAGCACCACCAAAATCAAATGATACAAACAAAAATGTTTTGAAAATTGGTAAGTTGTAGCCACACATTGGATATTATGGCACTTTTCCTACACCATACCATTGCCAATACCACTGTCAAAGCGTTTGATGTTGCACGTGCAGCACAATACCCATGTCATGTCTAAAATCGCATACTGGTTGTGAACATTGCACATTTCGCAACACAGGCTTCAGGCTCATTACAAAGCTTCATAAGAAGCATTAAGATGGCAGATTATTGGAACGTAAAACCTGCAGGAATGTCTTTCTGGAAACGTCATCACGTCCAAGTTTCAAGATTCCTGCAGAAATACAGAACATGAGACAGGCCAGCATCGCACGCCACCCAGGAGAAAAGATGAAGCATTATTTAGGCTCGTTAGACGATGTCCATTTGACAACAGTTTTAAGGCACAGTGGCTATTTGACAGAGCGATTTCAACCAGAATCATCAGAAATCGTCTGAAAACGACTGGATACAGAGACAGAATACCAATCAAACGTCCCTTGATATATCTTTTCTGATGACTGTCGATTTCTGTTACACATGGTAGACACGCACGACACGGGGGGCACGCAAATACAGCCATGGCTGCACACAACATTCTTGAGACCCCTCCATTAGGTGGGGGATCGGTAATGGCATGGGGACGTGTTTCATTCACGTAAACTTGACTTGATCACTGCGCAGGGTAATCTGAACGGACCTTGATATCAACATGACATCCTGGGAGCAATTATCCCCCTTTTGACAATCATTGGTCATTAGACCTGTATTCATGGACGATAATGCCAGACTTCACAGATAACGAGCTATTCTGAGATGTTTACTTCAGACAGCCATCGAGACAAGATGTCAATTCAATGGACATCTGTGACACATAACCGTTAGTTCAACATTTACCTGTGCTTGCTGCTGCTTGTAGCGGAATGGACTAGAACACCTCAAAGCCAAGTGCAACGTCTGACACATGGAATGAGGAGGCGTCTGGTGTCACTCGTTCATGATCAGGGTGGCTACACCAAGTATTGACGAGAACTGTGTTACTTGCATCTACCGACATTGATTTAGGATTCCGTTGATACGGACTAATTTGAAGCAGTTCAGAATTTCGTGTGCGACAATAGTAATTCCCATTTGATTTTGGTAAATATAACGTCTTTCTTCAAAATACCAACAATTCAGAGTAAAAGCCATTCAAACCCTTGTTTTCTTCATGACTATGGTTTCAGTAAACATCATTGGATACTGTTATCTCGAACGCAATTTGCACCAGACCGCAAGTAAACTGACTCCTTCATGACAATAAAGGTGATGCTAAGTAAATAAGTTAGATAAGTAAGCAAGACACCATTACAGTAATGAGATTTTAATTACATATTGATTTGACAAGAACCACATTCCTATCTTTGATCGACCGGTTTGCCCCATCGTCATTGTACGAGTAAATGACTGAGACTGGTCTGTGTACATGTTTCATGTTGAACATCAGTATTATTTCCATAACGTTTTATCATATCACGAAATCAATTATGGGTAAAGAATAATTAGATGAGGATTTCCCGGATACTTTTAGTTGGAATATGGGAGTGTCTCGTTTCCAAGAAAATGACCTTGAAAAAACTAAATATAACAGTGCAGTTCAATGTTGGTTTTAATCTCAATTAAATGTAATACATGGTTATACAATGCATGTGTATTACAATATTTACATAGAAACCGAGGAGCAAAAGAAACTTATATCTCTCGGTTGATTTTACAATATGTTTGATTTTTTTAAATTGATATTCTATCCAAAAGTTGAACTGTAGTGGTCCTTAGTCAGCACTCGAAGAATACGTCTACTTGGTTTTATTTGTTAAATATAATCTGTTTATAAACCTTTTTTTAAAAAAAATTGGCACGGCTCCCGTTCATTGGCACGGCTCCCATCAGCCGAAAGCTATGATTTTATCAATTATTAACCTTTGCGTTTCAGTCGTGATGTCTTTGAAGTGATTAGCAACATAAAATCACATACAACTTCTAAAATGCAATCAGAATGCAGTGATTAATATTAAATATTATTTGTCAATATGAAGGCATGATGCGAGGTGTGGAAACACGAGTGAATCAACGTCACTAGCTTTCATAACACACTATCATCAAGGGGGGAATTAATGTAACAATGTCATATAGCGGATTATGTACCGAGGCAATTAGTGTAACAATGTTATATAGCGGATTATCTACCAAGAGAATTAATGTAACAATATCATATAGCGGATTATGTACCGAGGGAATTAATGTAACAATGTCATATAGCGGATTATGTACCGAGGGAATTAATGTAACAATGTCATATAGCGGATTATGTACCGAGGGAATTAATGTAACAATGTCATATAGCGGATTATGTACCGAGGGAATTAATGTAACAATGTCATATAGCGGATTATGTACCGAGGGAATTAATGTAACAATGTCATATAGCGGATTATGTACCGAGGGAAATAATGTAACAATGTCATATAGCGGATTATTTACCGAGGGAAATAATGTAACAATGTCATATAGCGGATTATGTACCGAGGGAATTAATGAGCAACCGTTTCTTAAATTTAATGGATTATATACCGTGTGAATTAATTCAACCTTTGTGCAACGGATACTCTCCCATGTGAAATAATGTTCTATAGTATAATGAACTATAATCTATGAATTATCGTAACTATACTGTAAATCGGATTGTATCCCGAGTGTATTAATGTAGCTCTACTGTGTATCGGATTGTATCCCAAGTGAATGAATGTAACTGTACTGCTTATCGAATTGTATACCAAGTGAATGAATGTAACTATACTGTGTATTCGAATTGTATCCCAAGTGAATGAACGTAACTATACTGTGTATAGGATTGTATCCCAAGTGAATGAATGTAACTATACTGTGTATTGGATTGTATCCCAAGTGAATGAATGTAACTATACTGTGTACTGGATTGTATCCCAAGTGAATGAATGTAACTATACTGTGTATCGGAGAGTATCCCAAGTGAATTAATGTAACTATACTGTGTATTGGATTGTATCCCAAGTGAATGAATGTAACTATACTGTGTATCGGAGAGTATCCCAAGTGAATAAATGTAACTATACTGTGTATCGGATTGTATCCCAAGTGAATAAATGTAACTATACTGTGTATCGGATTGTATCCCATGTGAATGAATTTAACTATACTGTGTATCGGATTGTATCCCAAGTGAATGAATGTAACTATACTGTGTATCGGATTATTTCCCGACTGAATGGTTTTATCCCATTAGTTATACGTCCCATTTGTCACACACCTCTATAATCCCAGTTGTTACACAGTTCGGGGGGAGGACAGGAAAGGATGAATTAAGACAACACCTGGTGAGTAATGGACCAGCCCCAAGTGGAGAACCACTAAATATAATAGTAAATATACTAACTGCCAAGCCCGAGTGGTATTGTGAAATGTTATGATCTGACAAAAAGGCAACTAATCTGTGTTGAATTTAGTTTATCTGTCTTGCAACAATATTCATGAAACAAGAAGATGTAACTGTAGTGTGGATCGGATCAGATCCCGACTGAGTTTTGCTGTGAATCTGGTTGTATCCCAACTATTTTATTCTAACTGTCCCGTGAATTGGAAATCCTGACTGAATAAATGTGGATGTGCTGTGAGTCGGATTCTATCCAAAGGAAAATAATCAAAATATTTTAGTTGCAACATCATCATACCTCATTAATTTATCAGGGTTGTATAAAGGTTGGGTTTATTTCAGCGAGTATTACTCGGTACATGCTTAGGTTATGCCATGGTAATTAGAATCAGGCTGCTAGTCATCGATCTAAACTTCTTCTCAAGCATCACTGCTGTGGTGTGACTATTCCCGTAGACGCTCGGTATAAAGAGAGGGCGGTTATGATACCAATGTAGTCCGACTCGTTGACCTTCTCGCCGCCTCCATGACCATCAGTGCCATTCAACTGTTCCCTGTCGCATGTGATGTTTTCATCATCGGTGACCTCTACGATGATGTCTCCCGTCAGACAGATCCCTGTACTGTTGTTGTGGGTGGTGTAGACGGAACCAATATCAGGAATCAATGATATTAAATAAAAGCAATATTTCATAAATGTGATCCATTTCGCCAAGGCGGACGTTTTGTTTTAGATAGTTTTGGAGTTTGAAACACATTTGCTTGTCAAGGAAAGTATTCGTACGCAGAAAAAAAGTTCCTGCAATGGCGGTATAGAATTCCATTCAAAACGTTCAAGTCTTAAGAAATCCGTTTGCGTCCTGTGGGGCATCATTCATAACAATGACTACCTTTTGGACTCAATGACCTACGAGCACAGTTCTCATTGGTATCGAAGATAGTTACTATAGAATACTAGTCTACGGTAAAAGCATTAATGAGAAATTGAGTAATACTATAAACATTACCGACTAATTCATCTTCAACTCGAAATGGCCTGTCGGCTTTCTTGAAGGATAAAAACAATGTGCATATTGATGCCAACATTATGTATTGTCATTTGATAAAGCCGTGTTTTAGTGCAGTAGCTGTGTATTCTCCACTTGACAGTGACACACGGAGAGGTGATAGTAGGTGCAGAACAGTTCAAGCAGTTTTCAAGCTTTGATTCTGAACCAAAGAACAAAATTACAAAATTATGTATTGTCATTTGATAAAGCCGTGTTTTAGTGCAGTAGCTGTGTATTCTCCACTTGGCAGTGACACACGGAGAGGTGATAGTAGGTGCAGAACAGTTCAAGCAGTATACAAGTTTTGATTCTGAACCAAAGAACAAAACATATGTTATCAGAAGAACACATTCAGAAACATTGCACGATATACGATATATTATTTTTTATTTACACGTGAGAGATTATATATACGCTGTCTGACCAGCTGATATAACATAGGACTTGCTTGTTTACTCAATCAACATATAAACTAAACTTCATAAACACTTTGACCCCGACTCATTAGTGACCACTCCACAAAAGTTGTTTTTTTCTGGATATTTTTAAATAATTGTGAATGTCGTATCTCAATTATATTTCATGCACAAATTTCATATGATTTTGTATTTCATGATACAACTTGGATATTTTTTCGTTTACAGGCAGACACAAATTTATTAGATTAAAAGAGGATGTCTACATATAGTGTCGTTGTTTCCTGGCAGACACAAATTGATGACATTTAAAGGGAATGTCTATATATAGTGCATCAATGCTAAAAGTCAAATTGCGATTATCTAAATGATAGGCTGATCATACTATAAAACAAAATAATGGGAAACAAGAAATATCAATAATATAACCAAACATCTTCTACCTATAGATGGATATTAGAAGGACAGGCCGGGTAATGTGAAGGGATACTGCACACTTTCGTAGAACACTGTAAGACACTTCGCATTACACACAGTACATTTTCGTAGAGTTCGTTTTGTTGTTGCCGCGCATGTGCCCCATTCTCACAGCATACAGCTGGTCGTAGCTCTTTCTGCAGCTGTGTGCAGCTGCATTGTGTAAAGCGGCAATCACTAACACACTGCAAAAGATAGAGTTACATTCGAACTATCGCCGATCAGTTCTCAACACATGGTACGAAGCAAGTGCACACAAAAAAATTCATTGATCATACACACAACTTCAAAAGGACTGTTTTACATAGGATTATTTTATGATTCAGTACATTCGTATATTATTGTATATATTACCATATAAATAACTTTCTAAATTTCATCCATTAGACATGTGGTGTATCGCTTATTCTGTGAAATGTATATGATGTACACAACGACAATAGCAAAAGGGCAAATGCTATTTATCACAAATAGTGTACACATACATGTACATGTAGGAAAAGAGTACATATAACAGTATTAGGAAGTTTATCGGGATTAAGTGTGATCGTGTATTGCAGTATGGTATACATTATATTGTCAATTAAAGGTCATAATGTAAGCATGTTTTTTCATCATATTTATCTTTGTTTATGTATTTCTATATCTGAGTGCATAAGGACCCACCAGGGGAAAAGGGCCCTTGTGGCTGCAATGAAACAATAGTTTGTGACGTAATAAAGAGGAACGTTTGACGTCAACGTACTTCCGTTAAAAATGCCCTTGTGTACAAAATGTATAAAAAATCTACTTGTTCTCTCGATAGTTTATAATATAATGCAAACATTATTTAAAAACAATTCAGCATAGATGTTTACGTTCAATTAATCAGCTGTTATCTAAAAACTGCAATTATCACATTAACAGTTATAAGTCAGTCCAAATGTTTGATGCCATGTACAATGTAGCTCTGTAATAAAGATTTCCTAAGATAATCTAGTTTAAAATTATAATGATAAGTGAAAATGTGATTTTTCACCCATAAGGTTCCTTTTCCCCGGTGGGTCACATATTTCAAATAACTTTGTCTACTTACTTCTATTCCTTTCAACACGAACACTCCTCCTGATACGGGTGTCGAGGTAGGCGAACTTCATCAAACAATTGTCCTCGTCGCGGAGCATACATAATCGATAGTCTGTAATGTAACACACTCAAGATAGAACTTTCATCATTTTGTATTATAAACACCTAACCAGAAGTTTCCATATATGTATAATTGTGCCTCTAGCGTAAACAACAACGACGGAACACTTTCCAGAGCCCCTTGCAAATTCCGACCATATGTGCTTATGAATCACTACAAATAGTGATGAAGCCAGGTGTTCGCAAAAAGGGGACCGTATCCTGCCACAGCGGTGGCACTCGTCACATATACATGCAAAGGCGAGACAATTATTCACCTGAACGGGAACATATGGTTCAAGAACAAATATGGAAGTGCTTCTGACATCATTTTGTCACTGAAGTATCAATTTTGTAAATGTCCTCCAGAGTTCTACATTTTGAAACTTTACTTATCTTTTGAAGGTTGATCAAGACGTTTAGAATTCATACACATTCCTAGTTTTATCTATTCTTATATCAATATCAGAAAATATTTATTCATGTATCGCTGTATCATCCGAATTACACGATGTGTGTTCGAGACATGACATTTGAAATCATGCACTCTGGTGTCATTCACTTTAATGTCCAGGCAAAAATAATTCCGTCAATTGCATTTGCACGTTAATTAAAATACCGGTTCAAGATAGTGTAGGCAACATAATCTATCGTTTGACCAATACGGGTGACGCCACAGATGCATCTCGTGCTGATAATTAGTAATATCTCTAATAGTCCTTAGAACACAGACAAATTTAAAAGTATGTGTTATGAGGATCGCAACTAGGATTTCGAGAAGGTCATTCTACGGTAGACATTTTTGTCATACAAGCTTAAGCACTCCGCCATTCAGACAGTTTGGTCCTCATTCCACGTATTTTCATACACATTCAGTGAACTCACAAGCGAAAGTCAATTTTTAAGTAAAAAATAATGTTGGAACAGTTGTGAAGACGAACAATATCATTCTGTTTTGGTCTGTCTGCATTTCAAAGAAAGTAGACACACATTCGCCGAATATTACTATCGGTACCCCTCCAGGCAAAAACAGCGTATTTCATCAACGACTATTCCAATTAAAGAGTTTGCGTTATGTTTGAAAACGTAATGCACATCATTATGGAAATACATAATACAATAACTGTTATGATTGTTTAAACATAAGTAGAGTTTAAACATAAATAAGTTTAAATCAACATATAAGTAAAATCGTTTGTCTACACATTCTACTCTCGGCTGCGAGGACCCAAAATCCTAAATATAGAAAATAATCCACTCAATCCTCTCACAATAAATTGAAAACTTATAATGAGCCTTACACATAAAAGGTTGAACTCATTCGTTGAGTTGGAAATAGATAGTCACGAAATATTAGTTAGGGTAAGATGACATCCGTATCTTGAAATAAATGGTTGCTATTAAATGAAGTCAATGAACTAGTTTTCCTTATTGCGAAGTTTTTGGGCCATGAGATACTGGGTCATCACTGAACTAACTATATGCGTCATTATCCATATATATCACGCGTAGCAGCTGATCACAAATCACTCTTATTGACCCCTACTACTATCGAGATTATCCCCTCACAATCACATCAAGAGGAAACTGGTCACAATTTGCATTTGAAAGCAATATATGACAGCTGTGACCATGAGGTACCGATAGGGCAGGACATGCTTAGTAATTCGTTTTCGCGAACACCTGGTGTCAGTGGTCAATTCATATCATTCCCATGGCTATTTTACGTTTTACGCCAAATGGAATCTGTCCTGGTGGATAATCACCAGTGCTAGTTATTCTCTTGCATTGACGTTTTATCTGTACAATCAAACCTGTACCTGCCCTATACCTTTGCGGTATTATTCAAAATGACCATGGTGGACGCACATGCATGACATCCTGAAATAATCATGCACCAGCTCCATTTTTCAAACACAATGACCTACAAAACATATCAGAGTATATACTAATGTTACACATTTCTGCTACAATCTTTTGCCGCTATTCGACTCATTTATTGGTATTGGAAGAAATGGATGACTAACAAGAACAGAAAGATCAGAATTTTAGATTCCCATCTCAATTTTTTCACCAGAAGCAAACATGACCATTAAACAGAAATGAGGGTTCTCCAACACTGTTGCAAACGCTTACTTGGACCATCACGTTCCTGCACCGCAACATCGTCGACGATTTCGATGCCAAGGACGCCGCATCTTGTATTGCACTGTTCAGGGGTCAGACTTCCGCTTGCAAAGACAAAGCACTGGACACAGGGCATCAACCTCTGACACGGCCCCGGACACGACTGTTGAGAAGAGAGGGACATATATAGATGCTTAACGGCGGTCTCAGCAACATCCCAGTCCTAAACGCGACATAATGTACCGACGATGGGGGAAAACCCGGTTCTTAAGGGTGGCGGTTCAAGCTTTATCCATTATGCTACCCCAAATTCTCAGAGAAATGAATTTGTACCACGATGCATGTCCTGAACAGTGTTGTACAAAACATTGGACTTTACAAGGATGAGACAGGACAAAAAATCCTAATTGTTTATCATTAGTCACATACTGCACTTGACACACGTGAAAACAGTTTATGAATGTTGGTATGTCAACACAAAGTAATATGGTTTATAGAGAATGCGGGAGATTCCCATTGTACATTGTATCTTACACTCTTTGTATGAAGTATTGGTGTAAAATTATAATAATGCCTGAACACGGTTTACCTAAGAAAGCCTACAACATGCTTGTACACCTCGATAATCTTTGAAAGAACACATGGGCTTCCTGTATACGTACATTGGTTTTTACATATGGCTTTGGTTTCATTTGGCTGTCCCACACAATTGGTAATGCAAATGTTTTTATTAAGTACTTTCGCATGCGTGCCATTGATATCTTTTTATCAGAAGTTACGAATTGCATACCATCCATCAATGTATCAATTTCCAAATATATCTAAGCTTAATTAATTAATGTCTTCTATAAATATTAATGAACTGAAGCCTTTGACTGCGTATATATTGCATGCAATGAATTTTAGAAATGATAAGATGAGTGACTTAAACAAGTAGAAATCAATATGTCCACCCACTATCCACACAGGTTTGTACTATAGGCATATGGCCTTTCAGTATTTCTGTAATATAGATTGATTGACAATTTTCATCAGAAATGACATTCAGATATTTACGAAAAATCCAGAAATGATACTTATCGTCAGTTCAAGTCATTGCTTGAACCAGAATCATAGAATTATCTTGTTATCCAGGTATCCAACTACACCCGTAATTAACGCAACATTTTTACTTTTGTTTGCTGATGATGTAATTCTTTTTCTGGTCTACAAAATCGAATTAAAGTGTTAGATGTGTATTGTAAGGAAGATAATTTAGAAGTAAATTTGGACAAATCTAAAGTGGTTGTCTTTAAAAATGGATGCACGGCTTCTAAGCACGAACAATAATATTTTCAGGGTAACCAAATCGAGCGTGTATCTTTATTATTAATATATGGGAATCATATTTTCACAAAATCTGTCCTGGGAAAAGCACTTTGACAGTTCTACTGTACAATCTAAAAATATTTTGTTTGGTATTTTGAATCCCTTTCAAAGTTGAAACCTCTCCCACAGGATGTATGTCTTAAGATATGTGACTCTGAAGTGATGTCTGTTGTGCTACGCGAAGCTGAAATATGGGGATTTGATTGTACAGATGTAGCGGGTAAATATCTGGTGTAAAATTATCCACACCTAAACACATTGTCCGTGTTGAATGTATCAGGTATCCCACATATATACTCATAAACGCTGTGTTAAATACTGGTATAAATTGTTGTGTATGCCGACCTCTGGTTTTCCCAAAATAATTGTTATAATCTACTACTTGGATTCTAGCCATGGTAAAATTAACTGGGCTTCAATGGTTGAAATTTTTCATATATAAAAATGGGATTTGGATTTGTCTGGGAAGATCAGTCTATTGGCAGTATAGATTCTTGAGTTTATGGCGAGATCACACAACCTGTACCAGCAGGAGTGACATGCCTCCCTATCTCCAGGCTCTAAAACGTTCTCGCACTTATTATTTAAACCCATGTTTGGCGTTGATCCATATATTTGCTGTATCACTATGAACAAGTTTGGCAAGGTCAAGATGTGGCTCACATCGTCTAAATAGAAACTGGTAGATAAGTGAGCATGCCAAGAAACCAAAGAACATGTGATTTGTGAAGTTGCGGTTATGTTGAAAGAGAATACCATTTAATATTGATATATAGTGCATATGAACACCTATGGCAATTGCGTGTCCCCAAAAGTATTATATATTATCCAAGTGTAAACACATTTAACATGTTAATGTCTAAAAACATTTCGAATACTTTACAAAATATGGGAATGTTTATGTTCTATGCAAATAATTTGAGAAAAGAAATGTAAAAAATTGACTGTAGCACCGTTGCCAAAGTGTAATTGGCCGATGGCTCATCCTTCGTGAATAAATTATGATGATTATGAATTGCAACCTTGACTTTGTATCTTTTCAAATATGTTATGTAACTCCGATGTATTGTATATTGGCCTGTGGCCTTTCACACAATACATAATTGATTATGCTGAGTGAGTGAGTGAACAATATTTCAGTTATGTCAGGACGACGTAGCTATTTATGGGAAGAAAGCCCAAGGTAGCGCGGGCTGTAGACATTTGTAAAAATATTGTCATAGCGACAGATTTACGACTACCATTGTCTGAAGAACATTTAATTGCAAAGCTCATTAGCCTGGAGCCATGTCATCTATATGCCTTGAAAGACTTAATAGCTATTATTTATAAGATGCTAATCCTAATTGTTAATCCCCATTATTGTGTACATCGACCATCTGCCATCCTGCTGATGAATTACTGTTTACATTTATATTTATTACTTACTAAATGTCAGGTGACCTTGGCTATATGAAACCATGGCTACAGGGTAATTTGCCTTTGGAGTCAAATGTACTTCAGAAAATGGTAGTCATAAATCAGTCTCTATAGATTGAAAAAAGGAGGAGAAAGAAAGGTCTTACCCTAAGCCTAGCTAGGGTTAGGCTGGGTGCTCCGGGGCACCTAGACAACAACCACTACCACCATGTGCTGACCTGGCACATAGTGTCTTCTGTATGTATATATCAACATGTATAAAGTAAAACTGTATATACCGCAAGCCATCGTCTCCAAGTTGTCACTTCCTACTGAGAACCATACGTCGGCCCCTTTCACATACGTGCATGCAAATTATTCATTAATCAACGCCAGACCACACGCGTTGTTAATATAAGCGACAAACCCCTTTTCTATGATCATAAGAAATACCTGCTAAAGGCAAACTTCAGTGTACGACTGCGACTATTATCATATGCTTATGAATCACTATTAAGTTGTGTTGATAGCGGTTGTTCGCGAAAAGGTTGCACTAACACATACAGAGGCAAGTCAAGTGTAAGGAATTGCATCATTTGTTGTTTAACGCCGCACTCAGCAATATTCCAGCTGTATGACGGCGGTTTGTAAATAATCGAGTCTGGACCAGACAATCCAGTCATTGACATCATGAGCATCGATCCACGCAATTGGGATACGATGACATGCACCAAACAAGTCAGTGAACCTGACCACCCGATCCCGTTAGTCGCCTCTCACGACAAGCAAGGGTTGCTAAAGGCCTATTCTACCCCGGATCTTCACAGGACGGGGAATTATATCGGATCATTCTTTTGGCACTGACAAAATGCGGAACTGTCCTCCTCGGGCCTGATGCTGACAAACCAAGAGACACAATCCGAAACAACACTGGACTGGCAAGCTCGATGACGTTGCTGCAAATTACACCGCCAAAATATGACCTGATTATAGATACACGTACCGGACAATCATCACATGTAACGCCACGGAAGTCAGAATTGCATCTGCACATGTTACTGAAACACCTCCCTTGGCCGTTGCAGATCAACTGAAAGTAGAAAATCGACGTATTATGCACAAGGGTTATGTAATCGAACGCTTTAACCACTAGGCTACCCCACCGCCCAGAGTCACTACCAAATAGTGATTTATTATCAGGTGTTCGCGAGGGTATCCTGTCCAAACAGTGGCAAAGGAAAGTCAAGCAAGTGTTCGCCATAACAAACATGGCAACTCAGGGTACAGACAACAGCGTTGTCTACCATAACACTTTACACATTTTGAATCCTTCCATAAGGAATGCTGTAACCCCGATCAAACAACTGTTTATCAGGGGTCGTATAACTGTTTGAAATCTTGTAGAAAAAGCATGCTTAAGAAGTTGTGCAATGGAGACACGAAAGCAATGCGGTGTAACCTCCCATTTATGATCGTCCGCTGCATTTCTTAGCATCGGTGATGGATGGACTTTATATAAACTCACGTGCAAAAGAAACGTCTCCAAACATTTTTCAACTAACAAACACGAATAGATAATGACGTTTTATATGAATAACAAAAAGGTATGTAAAGCATGTGTGACAGAAGTAAAAAGAAGATGTTAAATGGAACAGCTGTAGAGTCAATGTTATCACAAGGGGGTCAATTGTCCAGTATTTGAGCACAAGCCAAAGTGGCAAATCAGAAAAACACAGAGGTTGAAAATGGAATGCAGACTGTCAATAACGCGAATGTCCACCCCTAGCGTCGATACATGCCAGAACACGTCGTCGGGCCGGTTGTGTAAGTCTTCTGATCACGTGATTGGGGATCTGACGCCATTCTCTCTGCAGTGCCTGAGCCAGTGCATTTCTCGTCAACGGAGGGTGTGGCAGTTGTCGAATCCGACGTCCAAGATGGTCCCACAAGTCTTCTATCGGAGACATGTCTCGGGATCTTGGTGGCCAAGGCAGGACGGGCACGTCGTTGGCGCTTGACAGCTGCAGTGTGTGGTGTGGCATTGTCTTGCTGAAACAAGGTTCCTGGATTTTGCTGGAGGAAAGGCAGGACATGGGGCTGCAGAACTTCATCAATATACCGACGGGCTGTCAGGTTGCCATCGATGATAATGAGGTCGGTCTTGGTGTTCCCACAAATGCCTCCCCAAACCATCACACTCCCTCCACCGTCAGCTCTCTTCAACTGGAACCTACTTTCGTGGCTGAAAAGGACTCTTTGCCAGTTTCGTTGCTGCCACTGACGAACACGTCTTGCCCATGCCAATCTTCGACGTCGATATTCGAGCGTTAACGTCATGCCCTTGAACGGTCTGTAGGCTCTGATTCCTCACTCACGGAGTGGTCTCGAGACTATCCACCTGCTGACACGATGACCAAGGCTATGCGCTGATGATGACGTCACAGTGAGGAATCTATTCCTTAAATGAAGCGTACGTAGATAACGGTCTTCTTGTGGCGTAGTGACTTTTGGTCGACCACTCCTTGGCCTGTCTGCTGTCCTGCCAGTTTGTCTGTAACGTGTGACTAGTCTGCCAATCGTTTTGCGCAGCCCATGATTCTTGCAACATGGTCGTGAGTTGCCCCCATCTCCAACATTCCAATCGCTCTTTGTCTCTGTTCCCCAGTTAATCTAGGCGTTTTCTGCGGGGTTTTCAGACGCTGATGATTGCAAAGAACAGTTTCCAACGGGTTTTATAACCGATATTCATACGGGTGATTTCCTGCACGTGCAGGGAATTTCACTGAATAAAGTCATTTTTACCCGCTTCTGACATGCAGCACGCGAATTTCCTTGAGATACCATGCATTGGTGTGTTTGGGCAATGTGTTCCGAACTGTTTTTCATGTTTTTGACTATATTCAACAATTATAATATAATTCTAACTTTGGGGACGTTTCTTTTGCACGTGAGTGTATAACACACGTTGTAGCGGCAGTCCCGAGTTGCGTAGTGGCCACAATGTTCCTACACTGCCGGGCAAACGAAAGTATACCCCCCATGTTTGATGGTGGCAAAAACTAAATCAAGCAAGAAATGGCTATGCGATGGTGATGTAATTGATGCGAGTATCATAGTTTATGTTTTGGGTCTGAGGCTTGCAGTGTTTCGACTGTTTTCACCCTTGGTAATAATAAAGCAGCGCCATGAGCATTCACTCGGTAAATAAAACTAGGCGAATTATAAATACACGTATTAGTATATGAGATGTTTTAATAACGTTTGGAAATATTTTGGACAAATCCAATTTTCAAGTGTTTACTGTTTTTTGCCCGGCAGTTTATTCCAGCTGACATCCTCAATGAATTATACTATACTTTACCCCTGTCACGGGACTCCTGCAGTTGTCGGTAGACATGTCGATGCTGCAATCTTCCCCACTGAAGCCGTCGTTACAGATGCACTGACCACACGAACAGCGTCCACGACCTGCAACATCAACGTTGATGGTGCAACGACAACTTAACTCTGGTTTTGTGTTTTGTAATCTTAATTATTTATTTGGGTTTTTTTGATGATCTGTACCATTTTAAACAGAGAATGGGGTGTATATACTTGTATATTTGTCGGTTTAAAGATACAATATAATGTTCGCAGAAACGTGGACTATACGGGAACATCCATTCCCATGACAGATCATGAGTTCTTTTCTCTATAAAGTTATCTACTACAAGTAGAATATCCATATATTGGGCATTGTATAAAACACTCTCGCCAAATTGTAAACTTCTTTTCTTCTCTTTGATCAAATCTTTTTTTCCATTTGAGAGATGAATTATTCACATGTGTTAACACCCAACTAGAAGGTTCTAACGTGTAAACGGTGCCCAAACGTAGAGAGAGAGAGAGAGAGAGAGAGAGAGAGAGAGAGAGAGAGAGAGAGAGAGAGAGAGAGAGAGAGAGAGAGAGAGAGAGAGAGAAATATATATAAAAGTTCAAAGTCCAAAGATTGAGCGGTATAATTTATTTAACCGGTGTCACGAATGTAATTTTCAAGAGTCCATTTATACTGTTACGCTGTTTTAACGTCACAGTGCACTCTAACATATTTTGACCTCACAGTAGGACGCATTACAGGGTGTGGTGAACGCGTACGGCACATACAGAAATAAGTACCCTAGTGGCAGGAACATGTACAATAATTGAATAAAATAATTCAATTATATGGGGCCATTTCATTTTTGTTTGAAAGTATACACAAAGAAAAAGTTAAGCACACCCTAATGTATTTCATTATATTTGGTCCTAATATTTGTAACTGTCATGAAAGATTTAATTACGGGAAGCATTGTTTTCCCCGACATGATGTAATCAGTCATGCGTGACGAAAGCTCACGTGCCATGCGTGGTATGCTCTTGCAGCATGCTACCCTCGAGTATTTCTAAAAGCAGTGTGTCAAAACGTTAAAATTGCCTTCTTAAGCTCGGTTTTAAACAGTTATTCCATCACATTGTGGAATGAAGGCGATTATCAAACGCCACAAGATGGCAAATAATCGGCATAATGCATGCATAACGCAGGAATGTCTTGTAATGCCATTGGTCGAAATTTGGGGTATCATCACACTGTCGTAAGCCGTTTAGTCGAGAAACATGCTCAGAACGGTGATGTACAGGACCGTCCCAGATCCGGAAGACCTCCCGTGACGACACATCGCGAAGACAGGGACCTTCCTCGTCTCATACGCCGAGAACCCTTTTTAACAAGTACTCGTCTGAAACAGTTGTGGTTGCCCAATCTTCGTTTCAGCACTAGAACCGTCAGGAACCGGCTGAAAGCAGCAGGACTGAGGGCTAGACGAGTCATAAAGCATCCCTTGTTGAGAGATCACCGCAAAGCTGCTCGTTTAGCATGATGTATTGCGCACAGAACTGGAATCTGAGAACTTGGAGACGGATCCATTGGTCAGATGAAAGTCGCTTTCTGCTCCACGTCACTGATGGAAGAACGAGAGTTTGGAGGCACCGGAACACGGCCTACATCCCCAGGAACATTAAATCGACTGGTGCATACAGCGGGGGCTCGATAATGGTTTCGGGATGTATCTCTCATGATTGCAGGTTGGATTTGGTCACCATAAGGGGCAACTTAACAGGGACTCAGTATATCCGGTACGTTTTGAGGCCAGTCGTCGTTCCTCATTTTGACAACCACTTTCTTGCTACTCGACCTCAGTACATGGATGACAATGCCAGGCCTCATCGTTTGCATGCAGTCGTGAATTACACGAGGGCCAATGCAATAACGACTCTACCCTGGCCAGCAATGAGCCCAGATTTGAGCCCCCTTGAACATGTTTTGGATATTCTGGGGCGGCGCACACAGGCACGAGATCCTCCTGTACAGGATTTACACCAATTGGAAGCAGCATTGCATCAGGAGTGGTTGTTGACCAATCAACAGATCCAACGTCTGACTGGAGGCATAAGATGTAGGGTGGAATGCGTCATCCTGGCACGTGGCGGTTACACCCGCTACTGATCTGTTTCTCTTGTCATGTCAAGCAGAGACTTTAAGGAACATTTTCACATGAAGCATCAAACGTAACTCTTTTGCTTAATCCTGCACCTCCATACATTTTTTAGGTGTTGTCTAAGGTCAAAAACAGTACCTGTGTTACAATGATGTTTTTGTCAGTAAATCTCACCAATATCTTCTTTATTTGTTCTATCCGATGACATTGGTATCGCCCAGCTTCTGTGGTCAGTCATCCCATGCTATGATTTTTGCCATTTGTCAGGATTCAGAAATAGGGGTGTGCTTAACTTTTTCCTTTGTGTATATTAATAAAATAACTCTTTTATCTTTCTCAGTGCATCATTTTCACAATTGTGAAATGGGAATATCACAAAATTTGGTATTCCCGGCACATTGATCAATGTGTTGACTGAGTGGGATACACCGGCAAGAGGGGTCCCGTATTTGTTGTCGGTGGACTCACTCTCGCTCTTTGGGTATCCCCTATCTGTCCAATGTCTTCGGCTTTGCATCCAGCACATGCAGCAGATAAACCTACTGTGTTTTGAAATTTGATGTCCATATTGTACAGTATAGATACCTCTTATCTTAGTTTGAAAAGAATAAATATGAGGTATCTACTCTACAGTGGGACCACATCAAATTTCAAAATACAGTCAATTTATCTCCATTCTGCCATAACGGCAACAACGCTTTGAAGACGGTGCACTCTTGCAACGCGTAACACAGGGTACAAAGGTCCGCAATCTTAGAACATTCCGAAAAGTGGGCACAGGCTGGTTTGTTTGTTGTTTAACGCCGCACTCAGCAATATTGCAGCTATATGACCGCGGTCTGTAAATAATCGAGTGTGGTCGAGACAATCCAGTGATTAATATCATGAGCATCGATCCACGCAATTTGGATCGATGACATGTATCAACCAAGTCAGCGAGCCTGACCACCCGATCCCTTTAGTCGCCTCTTAGGATAAGCATAGTACACAAATATTACAAAAGTTCAAGATTAAAAACACCATAATCTTGAGTAGTTCAAAACGAGTTCAAAACACATAGTTTTTCAAAAGGAAGTTGACAAATAACACTCCAACATTAGTCCAAAGACAGATATTTCAATTTCAGTTCTTAGAAATCAGCGAGAGATGTCATTTCTTGGAAATCGAACATTCTATTTCCATTGTAAGGCGGACAGGTTGTAGAAATCAGTCAGGGTTGCGGCCTAGAACACCAAAAACATCCGATATCAAACTACCGTAGGTCGCTAGGTCGTCTATTTATTTCCCGAGAGCCCTTGACTCGGCGTGTATTTGAGACCCAGCGTATTAACGAGGAAATATAGATACGTTTTAGAGTTCATATGGGGGGTGATCGATCGGCAGCCATTTATTTTATGAATCGACATGTAGGCTATCGATGTACTCATACGCATGTTTTTTTGTGTGAAAATGCTTAGTATATTTGAAAAGAGTTTCCGTAGCGAAAAGGAAATCTCTTTTTAACCAATTCGAATCAAGGATTCATCAATGTCATGGTAGAATGTATGACTAATTAGGTTTTTGGAAGCACAATTCATTTACTCAACAACAAACGTTCCTGTGACACCAATATTTTAGTTTATTTTTCAAACAAGTAAAGTTTGGTTTTCAATATTGTAGTACATGTATGGAATCAGGTCACAAAAACGCAACTGCTACAGAAAAGCATCCATTCCATGCAAAAGTTGACTTTTATGCAAGCCCCATGCATTTCACTACCCAAGAATGGGTATAAAAACATGTGCGTTAACGGGATTCCATATGCATTGTTTAGCATCGTGCTGACAACAACTCAGAAAAACAACAAAATTACGCAGTTATTCAACATTACGAAATGCCACGCCTGTCCGAAAATGAGCGTCTGCGAGCCATTTGTATGCTTGAAGCAGGATCGAGTCAACGTGATGTTGCAATACAATTTAACGTCCACAGAAACACCATTTGGTGTTTATGGCAACGTTGGCAACATACGAATGCAGTCAGAGATCATCCTCGGAGTGGCAGGCCACGCGTAACCTATAATCGACAAGACAACTGGATTCGAACAACACACCTACAAAATCGATTCCAGCCAGGATGAATAGTGAACTTACAAATGTTCGCTCCTCGAGGTATCGTCATCATATAATTATTTGGGTATGTCATTGTTCTGGCAACCTTCTGGCAAGTTAACCTGGTAACTGTCATTTAATAACATGGTTTTGAAAGCCAAAAAGGTCCTTTTAAGTTCAACAATGTTTATTGACATTTAAAATCTGTCATTTTTGCACTTTTCGAATAAAAAATAATGCCATATATATCATATAGACCTGAAGTATGGGCCATTCAAATTTGATTGTACAATAACACTTGAAGTTCATTTTCTTGAGTTCGCTTAACATAGAATGACATTGTACGTAGCATGCTGAAGAAATCCAGTACATTTTCTGGCGTTATAACGTCTTATATTGTAAAAATTAAATACATGTGGTCATGTCAATATCCATCAAAAACCAAAAAGATGTTGCCTCATCTCGCTGAAAATGCAAGTGATATCGGAAATAGAAATAAATGGGTAACATGAATTCAGATCACGCTCGTGGTTTGGTCAGGGACTTAGGAATGCCTCAGTGTTCTCTATCAGTAATAAATACAACGAAGGTGTAATTTCAACAACAATGGTCCAGGCGTATGCCACACAGCAAATGTACGTCCTATTTATTGTATAAACAGTATGTATTGCCTTAAAAATATTCAACGGTTGACATTTTTAAAAATAAGAACATCAGCGTAATTTTGATGAGGTTGTTATTATATGTTGTATTATTAAATGTTTTACGGTGTCGAAAATGGAAACAGATTTAGTCTGACTGATAGCAATACTATCATATAAGATTAACATATCCAATTTATTTTGTTCGTTATAACCGTAGTTCGTTATAAGCATATATACAACATCTATACAGCAAAGGGCCGGGACCGAAAATTAATATCGTAACATCCGTCAGTTCGTTATAAGCGTGTTTGTTATAAACGTATTTTACTGTACATGTCAATCAGTTTATATATTTCGCAAGCTAAGGATTCTGCAAAATCTTGATACTTTTGTAAATGTATGCATTGTTAAAATGATAAAGTAGTACTTATCCGCTGTATTCATTGTATATATTGCACTATGGGACTGTGGTCTTCAAGCCAAACAAATAAACAACTTTGAATATAACGTATGTCACTAAAGCAAATACAGTCAAACCCCTTTCCCCGGGCTATTTCAGTCGGACACACCGTATTCTGGAAGGCTGATATTGGGACGAGTATATTTGATTAATGGGACATGACATTCTACTGATTCGTTATCCTTGATACGCAAAATTGAAATTGCAGATGGTTGGCATGAGGAAATATCGTGGGCATGTGCCCCACTTGACCGAGCTTTGGTGATTAACAATTCTAGCAAAGCAATTACGAAAGATGGAGATTTCTATGCTATTTGTATATGGTGACACAGTGTGGAACAAATTTCACTTACCACCGCAGATCTTCCCATTAAAATAACTACAGGAGCCACTGTCACACTGGCAATACTGGCCGGTTATCCTTCGTCCTCCAGATTCTCGCTGCAACGTTACAGAAGCACGTGACATACAGCGTTAAGGTGTATACAAGATGAAGTAAACATGCTGGAATAATGTAAACAGTGTATATATGTCAAAGTGGGTATATGAAAAGAAAGGGAAAGCCAATATCTGACCGAGGCAGCACGACCAAGGTCTTGACCGAAAGCTGTAGTCACCTGTAGTAGGCTAAATATAGAGAAGATACGCTTTCATCACTTAGGTTATAGAATTGATGAAACTGCCACTTAATGTTTCAAACTAAATCGCCATGTAGTGATGGTACGAAAGCTTAATGGGATGCCACTTTGGTAGCATAATTTACGTATTTTCACATCGAAATTTGTTGTTATTTCATTATATTTTTCACATTGCCTCGAATATTTTCTCGTAATTTCAATTATTTTCTCGAAACTTTGAATTTTTCTCGCTATTTCAAACATATCTCAAAAACTCGAAATTTCGATTATATTCTTGTATTTCAATCATTTTCTTGAAATTTCGAATTGTTTCTCATTTCTTTGATTGTTTTCTTGAAATTTCAAATTCTCTCACGTTATTTCGATTATTTTCCAGTTATTTCAAATTTATTTTAGATAATCGAAATTACAAGGCTTTTTCTCGGTGTTTGAATTATTTTCTCGTGATTTCAAATACTATTTTTAAATCGAAATTACGAAAATACATTCAAATTACGAGAAAACTAGTGAAATTACAAAAAACAATTGAATTATGAAAAAGAAAATCGAAATTTCGAGTTTGAGATAAACTTAAGAAAAAGATATAATCGACGTAACAGAAACATCCTCGACATGTAAAAAAATACCAAATATTTGAAATAGAAAGAAACTTCGAATTAAAAAAGAATGACGCTACCAAATTGGCACCATTAGGCTTTCGAATGATTGTAACTCTTACTACACGAGAGGCTTTGTCAGAAAACCCACTTGAAACTGACAACCATACTAAAGATAACTAATTTATAAATGTAAATCCTTCTGTTCCTATAGGTTTACCATGTGAACAGTGATACTGTATACCGAACATCCTGTATAGTGCACAGTGTACAGTGTACCTGCAATGATAACAGTCCTCTGGAGTAAGTTAACTGTCAGCATCTCAACATCATTTTAAAATAAAGCGTTTAAAGATACGTCAATTGGCGGCAAGATAGTTTCGTTCTTGCCAGGTACTGGATATCTTTTTCTGGATAAGTGCTATATACATACAAAAGTTTTATTGGTCGTTCTGAGTATTTTCAATGGTATACTGAACCGCAAAAGAAACGTCAATGTGGAAAGATATATGTGAAACCGTATATGTCCAAACACTGTAAACATACTTTGAGACATCAAAAAGATGGAACTGGGCCAAGCTGATCATCAAGGTTGAAATTAAAGTGTCAAGTGTTCTTAAAGTGAAACACAACTCTAGTCTCTGAGAAAATGGCATCACAAGTCAGTAACTCGTGTGTCCGCCATGTGCATTGATGACTGTCGTGCAACGTCGATACCTGGAATGGATGAGGCGGTTGATGAAGGCCATAGTCACTTGAGCCCACCCTCTGAGGAACGCCTGACGCAGTTCAGCTGCAGTTGTCGGCCTTGGTCGGACGTCATTCAGCCGTCTTTGAATCCCGTCCCACAGGTGCTCAATGGGATTTAAATCGGGACTGAGGGCAGGCCACAGCATGGTTCTGATGCCCTTCTGCTGGAGGAAGTCTCTTGTTGCTCTCGCAGTGTGGGCACAGGCGTCATCATGCTGAAACTCGTGGATGCGGCGACGTGCCAAATAAGGTATGGCGTGTGGTCTCAAAAGTTGATCACTGTACCGAGCTTCTGTGACACCATTGCCTCTCCCTGGACCGATGTTCTGGAAGACCACAGGGCCGACCCTCTGTGCAAGACCAATTCCACCCCACACCATGATGCTCGGACCACCCCACGAGTCTCTCTCAACAACACAAGCATCCGAATAACGTTCCCAACGGCGTCGCCAGACACTCACTCTGCCATCTGCTGTTGAGATACAGTAACGGCTTTCGTCTGAGAAGAGGACTCTTCTCCACTGCTGATGGCGCCAATGCTGGTGCTGTGTTACCCACTGAAGACGGCCCCGGCGATGACGTGGTGTCAGAATGGGTCCTCGGTGTAGCCTGTGACAGTTGAGGTGTCTGCTCGTCAATCGCCGACACACGGTAAATGGGCTTCACACATTGTACCTATGGAATCGAACCCGGTTTTTCGGCGTGACGAGCCAACGTTTTAACCAGTAGGCTACCCCACCGCCACCACGACACAACAAGCAGTCTGATTGTGATACTGAATCTATGCTTACCTCACGCAAGTCTTCACACTCACAGATGTTGTCGACACAACGCCCTCGACCGCTGCACAACATCTGAAATTACGAACAGCCCATGATGCTTTGAAGGTCCAACACGTAAGTATGTTACAGGGAAAATGTCCAACCAGGGAACATGTATCATCCCTGAATCCCATGTTCAGGGAGTATATGTAATGTCTGATTCATGCAGGTAATATACCTAATCCCTAAGAGTTAAGGCTTTATACATATTCCCTGATTTAACAGCACGTTTTACAGAGCATGCGTTACTCAGTATTTTAACGCCGCTTCGGGCAGTGTTTCACAGGAATATCATACGGAATATTTACAGGTCTTGGGCGTTATTCACTTAAAGCCCATGACCACGGGTATGGTGCTAAACAAGAAACAAAGTCTACGCCTCCAACCCACGATCGTAGGTTTCTGTCAAGTCTAAGGGACGCAACTCTGCATTGATAATTCCGGCGAGCTGGGTCAACCGTGATGCTGATCAGTGGTAATTATGAGGGATGAGTGTTGTGTGTATGGGGTTGGTCGTCAGTTTCTACTTTACCGAAGTTTTGGGGTTTCTGCACCTATCGACAGCCATGCTCATCCCGCAACTTGGTCCGGCGTAGCCAGGGAAGCACATGCACTTGCCGCATTTACATAATCCTCGACTACTTCCTTGAGAGACAGAAAAAAAAAGGAGAACACAAAGTATAAACTCAAGAAGGTCAAAGATATTGACAATGAGTCATTGATAAATCATGACCATCGGTCATGTCGGGATCACGTGTGTAGTACTTGCAGAGTCATGTGTGGATCACGTGTGTAGTACTTGCAGAGTCATGCGGGGATCACGTGTGTAGTACTTGCAGAGTCATGCGGGGATCACGTTTGCAGTACTTGTAGAGGAAGGTGGGGATCACGTGTGAAGTACTTGTAGAGACATGCAGGAATCACGTGTGTAGTACTTGCAGAGTCATGTGTGGATCACGTGTGTAGTACTTGCAGAGACATGTGTTGACCACGTGTCTAGTACTTGCAGAGTCATGCGGGGATCACGTGTGCAGTACTTGCAGAGACATGTGTGGATCACGTGTGTAGTACTTGTAAAGACATGTGTGGATCACGTGTGTAGTACTTGCAGAGAGGTGGGGATCACGTGTGTAGTACTTGTAAAGACATGTGTGGATCACGTGTGTAGTACTTGTAGAGAGGTGGGGATCACGTGTGTAGTACTTGTAGAGACAGGTGGGGATCACGTGTGTAGTACTGGCAGAGAGGTGGGGGATCACGTTAGTAGTACTTGCAGAGGCATGTGTGGATCACGTGTGCAGTACTTGCAGAGACATGACGGGACCACGTGTGTAGTACTTGTAGAGACAGGTGGGGATCACGTGTGTAGTACTTGCAGAGACATGTGTGGACCACGTGTGTAGTACTTGTAGAGTCATGTGTGGATCACGTGTGTAGTACTTGCAGAGACATGACGGGACCACGTGTGTAGTACTTGTAGAGTCATGTGTGGATCACGTGTGTAGTACTTGCAGAAACATGACGGGATCACGTGTGCAGTATTGTAGAGACATGTGGGGATCACGTGTGTAGTACTTGTAGAGACAGGTGGGGGATCACGTGTGCAGTACTTGCAGAGACATGTGTGGATCACGTATGCAGTACTTGCAGAGACATGACGGGTCCACGTGTGCAGTACTTGTAGAGACAGATGGGGATCACGTGTGCAGTACTTGCAGAGACATGTGTGGATCACGTGTGTAGTACTTGCAGAGAAGTGGGGATCACGTGTGTAGTACTTGTAGAGACAGGTGGGGGATCACGTGTGTAGTACTGGCAAAGAGGTGTGGATCACGTCTGAGTACTTGTAGAGACAGGTGGGGATCACGTGTGTAGTACTTGCAGAGACATGACGGGACCATGTGTGCAGTACTTGCAGAGACAGGTGGGGATCACGTGTGCAGTACTTGCAGAGACATGACGGGACCACGTGTGTAGTACTTGTAGAGACAGGTGGGGATCACGTGTGTAGTACTTGTAGAGAGAGGTGGGGATCTCGTGTGCAGTACTTGCAGAGACATGACGGGATCACGTGTGTAGTACTAGTAGAGACAGGATGGGATCTCGTGTGTAGTACTTGCAGAGACATGACGGGATCACGTGTGTAGTACTAGTAGAGACAGGTGGGGATCACGTGTGCAGTACTTGCAGAGACATGACGGGACAACCTGTGCACTACTTGTAGAGACAGGTGGGGATCACGTGTGTAGTACTTGTAGAGAGAGGTGGGGATCTCGTGTGCAGTACTTGCAGAGACATGACGGGATCACGTGTGTAGTACTAGTAGAGACAGGTGGGGATCACGTGTGCAGTACTTGCAGAGACATGACGGGATCTCGTGTGCAGTACTTGCAGAGACATGACGGGATCACGTGTGCAGTACTTGCAGAGACATGACGGGACAACCTGTGCACTACTTGTAGAGACAGGTGGGGATCACGTGTGTAGTACTTGTAGAGAGAGGTGGGGATCTCGTGTGCAGTACTTGCAGAGACATGACGGGATCACGTGTGTAGTACTAGTAGAGACAGGTGGGGATCACGTGTGCAGTACTTGCAGAGACATGACGGGATCACGTGTGTAGTACTAGTAGAGACAGGTGGGGATCACGTGTGCAGTACTTGTAGAGGAAGGTGGGGATCACGTGTGAAGTACTTGTAGAGACATGCAGGAATCACGTGTGTAGTACTTGCAGAGTCATGTGTGGATCACGTGTGTAGTACTTGCAGAGACATGTGTTGACCACGTGTCTAGTACTTGCAGAGTCATGCGGGGATCACGTGTGCAGTACTTGCAGAGACATGTGTGGATCACGTGTGTAGTACTTGCAGAGAGGTGGGGATCACGTGTGTAGTACTTGTAGAGACAGGTGGGGATCACGTGTGTAGTACTGGCAGAGAGGTGGGGGATCACGTTAGTAGTACTTACAGAGGCATGTGTGGATCACGTGTGCAGTACTTGCAGAGACATGACGGGACCACGTGTGTAGTACTTGTAGAGACAGGTGGGGATCATGTGTGTAGTACTTGCAGAGACATGTGTGGATCACGTGTGTAGTACTTGCAGAGACATGACGGGACCACGTGTGTAGTACTTGTAGAGTCATGTGTGGATCACGTGTGTAGTACTTGCAGAAACATGACGGGATCACGTGTGCAGTATTGTAGAGACATGTGGGGATCACGTGTGTAGTACTTGTAGAGACAGGTGGGGGATCACGTGTGCAGTACTTGCAGAGACATGTGTGGATCACGTATGCAGTACTTGCAGAGACATGACGGGTCCACGTGTGCAGTACTTGTAGAGACAGATGGGGATCACGTGTGCAGTACTTGCAGAGACATGTGTGGATCACGTGTGTAGTACTTGCAGAGAAGTGGGGATCACGTGTGTAGTACTTGTAGAGACAGGTGGGGGATCACGTGTGTAGTACTGGCAAAGAGGTGTGGATCACGTCTGAGTACTTGTAGAGACAGGTGGGGATCACGTGTGTAGTACTTGCAGAGACATGACGGGACCATGTGTGCAGTACTTGCAGAGACAGGTGGGGATCACGTGTGCAGTACTTGCAGAGACATGACGGGACCACGTGTGTAGTACTTGTAGAGACAGGTGGGGATCACGTGTGTAGTACTTGTAGAGAGAGGTGGGGATCTCGTGTGCAGTACTTGCAGAGACATGACGGGATCACGTGTGTAGTACTAGTAGAGACAGGATGGGATCTCGTGTGTAGTACTTGCAGAGACATGACGGGATCACGTGTGTAGTACTAGTAGAGACAGGTGGGGATCACGTGTGCAGTACTTGCAGAGACATGACGGGACAACCTGTGCACTACTTGTAGAGACAGGTGGGGATCACGTGTGTAGTACTTGTAGAGAGAGGTGGGGATCTCGTGTGCAGTACTTGCAGAGACATGACGGGATCACGTGTGTAGTACTTGTAGAGACAGGTGGGGATCACGTGTGCAGTACTTGCAGAGACATGACGGGATCTCGTGTGCAGTACTTGCAGAGACATGACGGGATCACGTGTGCAGTACTTGCAGAGACATGACGGGACAACCTGTGCACTACTTGTAGAGACAGGTGGGGATCACGTGTGTAGTACTTGTAGAGAGAGGTGGGGATCTCGTGTGCAGTACTTGCAGAGACATGACGGGATCACGTGTGTAGTACTAGTAGAGACAGGTGGGGATCACGTGTGCAGTACTTGCAGAGACATGACGGGATCACGTGTGTAGTACTAGTAGAGACAGGTGGGGATCACGTGTGCAGTACTTGCAGAGACATGACGGGACAACCTGTGCACTACTTATAGAGACAGGTGGGGATCACGTGTGCAGTACCTGTAGAGAGAGGTGGGGATCACGTGTGTAGTACTTGCAGAGACATGTGTGGATCACGTGTGTAGTACTTGCAGAGAGGTAGGGATCACGTGTGTAGTACTTGTAGAGACAGGTGGGGGATCACGTGTGTAGTACTGGCAGAGAGGTGTGGATCACGTGTGTAGTACTTGTAGAGACAGGTGGGGATCACGTGTGTAGTACTTGCAGAGACATGCGGAGGCCACGTGTGTGGTACTTGCAGAGACGTGCGGGGATCACGCGTGTAGTACGTGCAGAGACATGCAGGAATCACGTGTGCAGAGCTTGTAGAGACATGTGAGGGAAATCAGTTTAACATACTCGTGTATTCAAAACGTCAACGCCGCATGGTATTCACAGTCATAACTACAGGTAACTACGGATTGAACTACAGGTAACCGGGCAGTGTTCACATGCAGCACACAGTAACATAAGGACGGTAATCTGCACGTAACAATAATGTCACAGACTTGTAACCACGGTATGAAAACATCATTCTCAAAGAGGGGAAATCATCTTCGTGTTATTGTCAACTGTACCACTCAGACGCCCGAAATGAATGCTGTCTTTATTTCGAGCAAGTCATGTCAGGTAAATTTACGTTTAACGCCGCGTTCAAGATTTCCAGCAAGAAGTCGGGCATGCCATTGTTCCTCTTGGCGCCAGGAGAACAGACCGTATAAGACCTTTGTTTTATGATGGCCAATAGCAGTCCTTTATAACGTTGTGAACAATGGCTGACTTTTGCATCCACTTTATATTTATGCATACTAACATGTTTATCACGCATAGGTGCAGTAGTTTAAAGCTTCAAAAAAGGTTTTATGGTAGACATGAAGGACAGTTCCAAATTTGACGCATCAGTGACAAAAGATATCCGATGCAATTCCCTATTTTGGCTTGTATCATATGTTCCCGTCTTTTTTCCGGTGAACAATTGACTCGCCTTTGCATGTGTGTGACGGGTGCCACCGGTGGGGCAAGATACGCTCAACTTTTCGCGAAAACCTTGTATCATCACTGTTTGATAGTGATTCACTAACACATTTCTTATGAATATGGAAAGGGTCTTGTCGGTTTTTTTATCTACGAATACCCGGAAGTATGTGATATGTAAAAAATATTACAATATGATGTTTCATGCAGCAGAAAATCGTAAAATATAATTGGGGTTTTCAAAGTAAACAAGAGTTTGCACTAACGTGGCTATATCCCCCGCCCCTGTTGAAGAATTTATGACATCATTAAATCTAAACAAACCCTAATCTTGTTTAACCGAGGTGGAACTTCTCATGGAAATTGTAAAAAAAAATAACCTAAGTCCATCGTGTTGCCATGGAAACGTACAAAAATACAAATTTCTAAAATTTCTAAATAGCAAAAGGCACCAGTTCAGCATGTACCTGACAGACCTGCAAAGTTTGATGAAAAAATATTGAACGTTTTATGAGTTATGCTCCGGAAACGAACCCTGCCCTCACAGAACCTAAGTCGACCTTGTTGCCATGGAAACGTAAAAAATACAAATTTCTAAAATTTATAAATATCAAAGGGCACCAGTTAAGCATGTACTTGACAGACCTGCAAAGTTTGATGAACAAATATTGAACGGTTTCTGAGTTATGCTCCGGAAATGAAACGTGACGGACGGACGGAGCCCGTGTCTATATCCCCCGCCAACTTTGTTGGGCGGGGGATAAAAATATTCTGGCTACAGCAACAATCTGTACATAAGACTTCAGGATAATGTTGTATATTTAATAAGCTGATAGCTTACTTTTCCACGTTCAATTTAGAAATCTTGCAATTAACGTTAACCATTCAATGTTTTTGAGACATTATAAATTGAATTAACATAGCATGTTTTGCCACAGTATACTCCCATTAATTACAGTAGGTAACGCTCAGTAGGTGCTGTCTTAATTAGTCCCCTCCTGGCCTCCCCCCAGGCTGTCCAACAACTAGGAATATAGAGGTGTGTGACAACTGGGAATATAGAGGTGTGTGACAACTAGGAATATAGAGGTGTGTGACAACTGGGAATATAGAGGTGTGTGACAACTGGGAATATAGAGGTGTGTGACAACTAGGAATATAGAGGTGTGTGACAACTAGGAATATAGAGGTGTGTGACAACTGGGAATATAGAGGTGTGTGACAAATGGCACGTGTGAGATAACCCTTGGAGGTAACCATAGCGACCAACATAACATGTTTTCAATCCAAATGTGTAATGGCCAATTTCTAGAATAAACGTCTTCAAACGCTATTGCGAAGAATTGCGGACCTTTTGAGTTTTATGGGGACAGATTAGTGTTTTCAGTCACTGCGTCTGAACAATTATTTCATAGCACAATATCCATCTTTGCGCCTCAAAAACGCCTACTGTAAATGCAGATGAAGCAGCGATCTCACCTCCACAGAGTTGGCCCTGGTAGAGATCACATGCCGTGTCGTCACACTCACAGAACCGCCCTGTATATCGCATCTGCGTATCCCTGCCGGCTATCTGGAATAAACAACAGGCAATATTGCATACGTATACAAATTAGTATTTAGTATTTATACAACTTCTACAATGAAAACATTACATGTTAACGTATAGAAATGCGATATCAGGTAAAAGAGATTGCGTTAGTGATGTAGGGTAGATGCGATTCGTTTTGAATTAAACATGGTTTGAAATCACACATATATTGTATGTTTACCTTTTGTTGTTATTGTTGGGGAATGGGGGGGGGGGGGGGGGGGGGGGGGAGGGGGTGGTGTTGTGTTGGGGAAGGGACGTGTTTAGCTCAGCGAATGAGTTCGAATGCTTACCCCGTCACATTGACACTTTCCACAGAGGCATTCGCCGTGACCGGAGCACGCCTCACTCATACCCCTGGAACCAAGCAATGGACATGATCATGTTTATTCATTCTTGTATTACGTGCGAGTATTTACAGAGAAACGGGTTTGGCGTTAGCTACATCAACGCGATTGCAATACATGAGATTTAATTAAATTTCATTACCACAGTTCAGAAGAATACACGTAGACGGAGAAATACGGAAAATGCAACATGAACTAAACACAGAAATAAATGTTTTACCGGCGACGCTTTGGTCAGAACTAAGAATTCTTTCCTTAGTGTGGTAATTGCCCCGGGCATATATTTTAGTTAATAGTTGTGCAAATCACTTACCTTTGTCATGATAAAAGCATCTGACAGAAGATAAAATCCTTGTATATACCGAGACAATAAGGAGTATCTATTAGCAGCAATTACCTGTAACTGTTGCCAGTTTTCTACCTGTTGACTGTGATTGACGTATTGTATAAGCAGTTCACCAGGAAGGCTAAATCACAAATATACGTTGTCCCAACAGCCACCACAGCATAGTGCTTTTGTTATACCACACCTTTACACACATGAGTGAGTGTTTATACGCCACTTTAAGCAATATTCCAGCAGTAGCACGTCGGGGGACATCAGAAATCCATGTATGGACACGAACCCGGGTCCTAGACGCCCGTCACACACATGACGATCTGGAGGGAACACTGCAGGTACGCGAAGGACGACCCCTAGCAGAGATCACTGAAATAGGCGACCTTGCAATATATGTGCCATCGTATCTAGTTTAACCCCGATTTAATTACGTATCGTTGTAATTAGGATATAAAGTTTGCTCTACCTGGTTTGTAGTGTAATAAAGAATAGTTTTGAGATGAATTATTATAGTGTTTCTTTGTTGTTTAAGGCCGCACTTAAGAATATTCCAGCTATTGACGGCGAACTGTAAATAATCGATTCTGGACCAAACAATCAAATGATAGACATCACTAGCATCGATCAACGCAATTGGGATACGATGACATGCATCAACCAAGTACTAGTCAGCGAGTCGGACCACCTGATCCCGTTAATCGCCTCTTACGACAAGCATAGTCGCCTTTTTCGGCAAGCATGGTTCTACTGTTCTACCTATTCTACTCCGGATCTTCACGGAACGAACTATTACAGTGAAAGCACGAGGATGCTCATAGCTTTGATGTTTTAATAATTCCTGGCAAAGCTATACATTTTTACACTACACATGGGAAAAGTGCAGAATTTATTACATTTCTACGATGCCGAATTTAAGACTAATTTCATGTTTTATTGGAGCTCTGTTTAAAATCAAATTTGCAATAAGCAGTGCAGATAATTTTAAATACACGACCTGACTGGCTGTACATCTAATTGGACAGACAAACGTGTTTGGGATAAGCCCGCGGCATAAGATATGTCATAAATAATTTTATCATACCTTTAGTAAAATATATTCAATTATCAACTGCCGGTCTCATTCTATGGGGGGATCTCCCACCAAGGTTTTGTCACAAATGTTGTACTAAATTGCGCCCATGTCATATTCCACATGGACATTGCGTTTGTTGTTTTAGTGTTTGTGGTGAGGCTTTTAATATATTTGGGTATGACGCGGTCAGGGGATCGAACCTCTGATGTTCTCCGACGTTCTGCTCTATCCAGTAGACAACAGAGGCGGTCGTCTTAAGCGCGACAAGTTCAGAATAGTGTAACAAAGGCGTGCCAGAAACCTTTGATTGTGATCACCGTTCGTCCTGATTATGTGTCTATGTTTATCAATTCTATACCCGTACTGTGCTCACCTGATTGGAAACATCTTAGGCCTGCATCACTTCACGGTTTTCTCACAGAATATGCTGACAAGCCGTGATAGAACTCAAATACTGATCCAGTTAGGTGCTTAACCAAACTTACTCATGAATTAAAACAAAACTCTTACGGGGCAGTGCAGCGATCGTACTTCTTTTCACACTCGCAGTGCTTGCCGTACACGCCCTCATCACAAGAGCAGATTCCACAGGCGTACGTTCCTTTGTTGCGGCACAGAGACGACTGGACCTTTGGTAATAGAAAGGGACAACCTTTATACAGTCAGCCCAGTCGTCGTGAACTCGAAATATTTCGACTTATCTGTGGTACGACACATCCAACTCGACCCTACTACAGCCTGACGGTCACAAAAAATAAAAGCAACAAAACAATTCCATAACCATAAAAAAATACATTGTACGATTCCGACTGTATCATAAGCATGTGTTTCTGAATCACTATCAAATAAGGATGATGGATGTCCACAATAAGGTGAATCTTGTCCTACTGGTGGCACCCATCACAAACACATACAAAGGCAAGTCAATAGTTTACCTGAGAACACATGATACAAGTTAAAACTAGGGAATTGGAACAAACGTACCAGATAGTGCATGTTACTTTAAAAACATTTGCATAACAAACAATAAAATCAGCTTTTTGTCATGTCCACATGTCTATTACACTTGACATAAATGTTAACATGTGCTTTGTTTTGTTTTTTCGTAACAAAAAAAGTTCGACGGATCAGAGTGTATGTGTGCATACTCATGCGCACTCAAAATAAGGTACAGACATCGATATTCTAATCATGCAATGAAATAAGTGCATGCCACCGTGAGCAAACAACGTCATGCGTTTTATGTATATAAACTTGTTATGTCGCTTTGTATATATATGTATGCCAGAAGCTTTGTCACATAAAAATATACCTTCTTTAATTCATTGGGAAGAGGTTTCATTTACAAAAATGACGATCATTCAAAAACTCTTTTTTTGAATTAGTGCGACACACTGTCCCGGTTTCAGACCAATTTAAACACATACTTTATCAAGCGGATTGTAATAATACTATTTGTTTGTTTGTTTGTTTGTTTGTTAACGCCGCATCAATATTTTTCCAGATATATGACGGCGCTCTGTAAATAATCGATCCAGGAACTGACATCATGAGCATCGATCCACGCAATTGGGATACAATGACATGCATCAACCAAGTCTGCGAGTCTGACCACCCGATCCCGTTAGTCGCCTCTTTCGACAAGCATAGTCGCTTTTTACGGCAAGCATGGGTTGCTGAAGACCTATTCTACCCCGGATCTTCACGGGTCAGGATTGTAACAAAGACTTGTATTAAATTGGCAATGGTGCTTTCGTTTACATTAGATATTTAGCTAAATTGGTCATCAACGGGGTACGAGGGTTGGCTGACACATTCAACGACCCAGGATGTATAATGTACCCTCAACAGCTTGCATGTATTAAGTACACTACTTTCCACCTTGAGCCAAGCACAAAGCATATTTCTGATATAGGCAAAACTGGCTGACAGCGCTGTCATCATGTTTCGCCAACTGAACGGGCTAACTCCAGCAGCCATCCATGCGGACAAGGGGTCAACATTAGTTGATGGTGATGCTTCCACTATCAGGAGGTAGGAAACGAAGTTGAAGGGGGAGTGAGAGAGAGACGGGGGGGGGGGGAGAGAGACTAGGGGGGAAGAGATTTGAAGAAGATCCAAGGTCAGGAAGACCTTCAGCTGCCACCGCTGAGATAAATGTCGATAAAACACTTTATAGACGATCCACGACTTACCGCACGTGACGATAGAGAAGGCATCTAGGGAGATGAGAACATTCTGGGGAATTAACTGGTTTCAGCGCGCTGGGTACCGAGACTTTATCAGAAACGTTACAGGTTCCTCCTCTGGTGAGGATTTTGAAGTGGATAGTGTTGAGCGATTTGGAACTTTGGATGAGTCCTGGGTTCGCCACGGTCAGGCAGAAACTTAACAGCCAAATCGTCTGCTCCGAAGAAGGTAAAGTCTGTTCAATCAGCTGGCAAACTGATGGCTTAGATTTTCTGGGATTCCAAATGAATCCTACTGGTGGACTACCGGGCTTCCACACAGTCGGATCCAGTCACTCCAGAAAGTATTGGCAGAAGAATATGGACCACGGATGGGATTATGTTGAAAACTAATTAGCAACCATCTTCATCAACGTATTCCGTTTTCAGTCAATATTCTTATGTTAAAAACAAATATTCTGAACTTTCAGATATACACAAACAAAAACCTTAAGCACACCCTAATATATTTCATTATTGTTTGGTCCCAATATTTGTAACAGTAATGACAGATTTAATTACGGGAAGAATTATGTTTTCTCGAGATGATGTAATCAGTCAGGCGTGACTAAAGCTCACATGCCATGCATGGTATGCCAGTGCAGCATGCTACCATCGAGTATCTCTAAAAGCAGTATATCCAAACGTTAAAAGTGCTTTCATCAGCTCGGTTTTACACAGTTATTCCATCACATTGTGTGACCATGGCACGAAAGCGATTATCAAACGCCACAAGATGGCAAATAATCGATATGCATAACGCAGGAATGTCTTGTCATGCCATTGGTCGGAATTTGGGGTATCATCACACTGTCGTAAGCCGTTTAGTGGAGACACATGCTCAGAACGGTGATGTACAGGACAGTCCCAGATCCGGAAGTCCTCCTGTGACGACACATCGCGAAGATAGGGACCTTCTTCGTCTCATACGCCGAGAACCCTTTCTAAGAAGTACTCGTCTGAAACAGCTGTGGTTGCCCAATCGTCGTTTCAGCAACAAAACCGCGAGGAACCGGCTAAAAGCAGCAGGAATGAGGGCTAGACGAGTCATAAAGTCCCTTGTTGAGAGATCACCATAAAGCTGCTCGTTTAACATGGTGTATTGCGCGACAGAACTGGAATCAGATAACTTGGAGACAGCTTTCTGCTCCACGTCACTGATTGAAGAACGAGGCACCGGAACATGGCCTACACCCCCAGGAACATTAAACCGACTGGTGCATACGGTTGGGCTCGGTAATGGTTTGGGGGTGTATCTCTCATAAATGCAGGTTGGATTTGGTCACCATAAGGGGAAACCTAACAGGGGTTCAGTCCATCCGGGGCGTTTTGAGGCCAGTCGTCGTTCCTCATTTTGACAACCACCCTCTTGGTCCTCGACCTCAGTACATGCATGACAATGCCAGGCCTCATCGTTCGCATGCAGTCGTGGATTACATGACTCTACCCTGGCCAGCAGTGAGCCTAGATTTGAACCCTCTTGATCATGTTTGGGACGAGATGCTCCTGTACAAGATTTACGTCAATTGGAAGCAGCATTGCATCAGGAGTGGTTGTTGTTGACCCATCAACAGATCCAACGTTTGGCTGGAGGCATGAGACGAAGGGTTACACCCGCTACTGATCTCTTTCACGTGTCATGTCAAGTAGAAACTTTAAGGAACATTTTCACATGAAACATCCGGGCACGTGGCGGTTATACCCGCTACTGATCTGTTTCACGTGTCATGTCAAGTAGAAACTTTAAGGAACATTTTCACATGAAACATCCGGGCACGTGGCGGTTATACCCGCTACTGATCTGTTTCACGTGTCATGTCAAGTAGAAACTTTAAGAAACATTTTCACATCAAACGTAACTTGTTTACTTAATCCTGCAGCTCCATACTTTTTTAGGCGTTGTCTAAGGTCAAAAATATTACCTGTGTTACCATGATGCTTTTGTCAGTAAATTTCAATCACAACTCCCAATATCTACTTTATTTGTTGTCAAATGTTTGTTCTATCCGATGACATTGGTATCGCCCAGCTTCTGTGGTCAGTCATCCCATTTGTCATTTGTCATGGTTCAGAAATAGGGGTGTGCTTAACTGTTTAACTGTGTGTACAGCATTTTGCATGGTTCGAGAAAAGAGGGTAAATGATGTATGACAATGGTGACGACAGAGATTCTGCCGAGGCAATACATATATAACGGATATAGAAGACTGAGGGATCAAGTTGATGGAGACCCTGTCAGTGAGAGGTTACTGGATATAATGTTTAATCCATTGACAATCCCATTTGATGTTACACTTGTATGGGTCCTGTCTAAAGTCTACTCACGATTTTTTCTTCCGGTTTTTCGCAGTCACAGCGACACAGCGAGGTGAGGGTCACCTTCAGGGGTCTCTTCTTGAAGCTGCCAACAATCACCTTGATCCTGGAAAACGAGAGAGTGATCAGGAATCGGAACATATTGACGTTGTGTAGGCCAGCGTCACCCTAATGTCTGGGGAAGACACACAGTTATGCGTTTAGTACTCTGGCGATACAAATGAGTCCTGGTATGGATTTCGCAATGAAGGAATCAGTAGGAGAGCTTTTCTGTGATTTTCAAAAGATCCTAGCACGGATGCAACTCATCGATCCTCCAAAAAAGCGTCATACCCAATGCCAATGCCTCGTGGGCATGGATATCTGCGACATATGAGCAAGTTGTTCAATTTTTCCATTTTGTTCATTGGGGATTGCGATGTAAATAAATACTGGTATATAAACATTGCAACATTATTCAATTCGTTAATCGCCTATAATTCTCACCCACAAATTGTTCCTTGGGTCCCCCTTCAGAGATACGTATCGTATGTTTTATTCATACAATGAATAACTAAGCGATTGTTCTTGTAGACCTTTTTTCACTACAGAAAGACGATAATATATTGTGTGAAGGCAAACTTACTTTTTCGGTTTAGGGAGGCACCTCTTCATATGGACAGTCATTGTAACATTTACCTGCAAATACAAACCATAACACTTGTCGGGGCCGACGTTTTACTTATTTCATTGTCATCGTGGTGGCAAACACCAACTGTTCCCATTCCATGCAGAGAATCGTACTACACAACATAACAGCATACGTATTCGGTTTGTCATACATACAAAAATACATGTGCATGTACGACGTTTTTCGCCGTAAGAGCACATCTTAAATGAGGATCGTGTGGTCACTATGAGCGACATGGCTTGTTTTTGTGTCATTGGGGCCTGGCTCATGCTATCAATCACTGGTTTATATATTCGACAATATCAATGGCGTCGTGATATAGGCGGACTAAGTGAGTGAAGGAGTAGGGTTTCACGCCGCTTTTAGCAAAAGTCCAGCGATATCAGGGCGGGGGATACCAGAAATGAGCTTCACACATTGTACCCATGCGGGGAATCGAACCCAGGTCTTCGACGTGACGAGCGAACGCTTAAACCACAAGGCTACCCCACCGCCCGTGGTGGTCTTAGGCGAAAAACAACATTCACTCATTATAACAGCATATGCATAAAATAAGTGATCTCACCGTATTCCCGTTTGATGTTGGACATGTAGCAAGTTTCTTCTTCAATTCAAATCTGAAATGACATGTCATTTGTTAAAGTTCAGACCTTGAGTCTTAAAGCTATTTCAAATACAAAAGAACGCTCAATATCAGAACATATGCTTAAGATGCTAAACTAGGAGCCTACTCATGGACTTGTGCGTGTATCTTTCAATGATTTTCTATTGTGAAGGTGGGGCGGTCGGGTAGCCTAGTGGTTAAAGCGTTCGCTCGTCACGCCGAAGACCCGGGTTCGATTCCCGACATGGGTACAATGTGTGAAGCCCATTTCTGGTGTCCCCCGCCGTGATATTGCTGGAATATTGCTAAAAGCGGCGTAAAACCATACTCACTCACTCACTCACTATTGTGAAGGTAATACCTGGTATCACCTGCGAACACCTGGTGTCATTACTATTTGATAGTGATTCGTACTAACATGCTCATGATACAGTCGGAATCGTACAACGGACTATGCTTTAGGCAGGGATTTCTTGTGAATATAGAAATGTTTTGTCGCTTTTATTCACACAATATACGGCTTTTCTATTGGACGAGATGAAGGTCACATGACCGCGAAACTGACGTTCATAATTGTTTTCACGAGGCAGTATTTTTGAATAGACGATAACCTTGACGAAAGGTTTATGCTTCAATGAACTTGTACATTCCTGGAGAAAACCCTACGTACAAATACAGAAACGTTCTTTTTATCATTTAGAATCTTTGATCTTGAACTAGGCGTTTTAACCTTTATACGAATATCCTTGTTACGATCTTAGTGAACAAAACATAGAAATGCACCTGCAAACTATCGAGTTGATCTGTCCCTAGAAGTTACCTTAGTATCTTTTTGACACATTTATAATCAGCTTTCAATGATCGGCCGACTGATCAATGATGGCTAACTTTTGTTATCGCCACAGGTGCACGAACAACCTTTTTGACGTCCTATGGTTGATGGTTGATGTATTATGACTCACTGCCGCTATGACCGACATACTGAGATATGTTTTAACAGACGTCCCTCATCTAATGATGATATAAGAATATATTTGCTGTAACCAAACTACAAAGATGCCAACGTAGATCCATTTGAACTTACATGGGCTCCTGCTTTTTAAGGAACTAAGGTATTCCGCAATACCAGTGTTTGCGTCTACATCCTTCAAGGTATAAAGTTGTGATATAAACACATATAGGATCTGACGTTCACTTTGTGCGAGCTCATTGGAGAATGAGCCTTCATAGAGTGAGGACCAAACTGAACTTCGGAGCTTGGTCCAGATCAATTTATGTAGGTTATGCTTCAATAAACTAACACACAGGGAAAATCAATTCTTAAATCAATATCGAGTTATCCACAATGCATACATCCATCGTCACTCACCCCACACAGTCAGCCTGTGCTACAATTCTCACCCCTCGGGGGTAGCGGAACCTCAGAGTCAAAGGTGTCTGAAATGCAAGTGTTGGGGAGGTGAAATGAGGTGAGGTGAAATGTGGGTTTAACGTCACGTCCAAGATTATTACACTTATATATCGACGTGCATATGCGTGTGTGCATATGCACGTGCTTGTACTAGTCCGGACTAATACCGATTTTATAGTGCTAGCCAAATGAGATACCAACCCACAGTTTAACATGAATACCCCACTCAGACACAAGTGTACGGACCCCGAGCCGACCAGTCCTTGTTTTAGTCCCTTAATGCCGAGCGCCAACAACAAGTACATTTGGTTTGACGCGGCCGGGGATCAAACCCTTCCGCTCTCCAGGCGGACGCTCTACCACTAGACTACGGAGGCGGTGGAAATGCAAGCGTATCAAACAATATACGAAACATGAAGGGTGGAACACCGAACCTAAACTTATTTTCTTCAATACAAATACATCCATGATGTACTATATCACGATCTGTACGTTACTGCTACAAGTAGGAAACATTTGGCTCACGTATTATAAGCACATTATGCTTAAATAGTTTTCACAGAATGAAGAATATATACTCAACCACAAAAAATAACAAGATCTATGAGGTATTTGTATGTTTGTATATTTGCAAATACTTGTTAACAAAATATTGAAAAGGCGAGAATGTCAAGATTTTACACAGATCATGAAAACAGAGTTAGTGTTTATTTGCGTTTTCAATTGGGGGCAAGACCATATACCCAAAACTTTGTCGGATTAAAATCAATACCTCGTATGCCCACCACGAGCGTTAACGATGGCGACACATCTTCTGTGCATCGAGTGCCCCAGGCGGTTGATATGGCGGCCCATATGCGCAGAAAAGCTGCACTCAGTTCCGATGCGGTTGTCGGCCTTGGTTGGAGGTCATTGAGACGTCTTTGGATCTCGTCAAACACGTGTTCTATTGGATTCAATCCGGATCAAGGGCAGGTTAAGTCATGATGATGATGTTATGCTGCTGTAGGATTATCTAGTTGCTCTAACTGTATGGGGTCGAGCGTTGTCTTGGACTGTGCGGCGTTGGGGATGGGGGAAAAGGGATAGACGTAAGGTCTGATGACTTGGTCAGTGTAGCGCTGCGCTGCGCTTTGTTGCCATTACCCCTGCCTTGACCAATACTTTGGAAGACCAAAGGTCCAGTTCTTTACTTCAGTCCAATGCCGCCCCACACCATGATGCTTGCAATTAGGCCTCCCCGTGGGTTTCTTGCAAGCACACAAGCGTCTGAAAATCGTTCACCACGTCTGCGACAGGTTGTGATCCTAACATCCATCGTCGACACACTTTCATCTAAAAAGATGACGTTCCTCCATTGCTGATGGCGCCACTATTGACGCTGTGTTGCCAATCTGAGTCGTTCCCGACAACGTCAGTCTGTAAGCATGGGCACCCGGGCAGGTCGCCGACAAAAGAGATGCTGCTGGCGACCGTATCAGCACTGAGAGGTCGCTGGTGGGTGGCGGTCGTCTGTCGAGCTGTCTCAGTGGCGCAGAGGAGACGGTTCTGTGATGGCGACGCATGTTTCGACCCGGTCGTCGTCAGTGCTGTCGGTAGTGTTGAGTCGTTGCTGCAAACGGCATACTGTTGCTACGTGCAAACTATAGTGCACTCTGATCATTCAATCTTCCAACATTCTGTTGTCTCTAATGACTGGCAATCGAGGGTAATTTCCAAACCCATAGCTACCTCGTTCTGCGTCTTGATTTGCACGAGGAATGTTCGCAACCGCTCCCAAAGACTTTTGGTGCTGTAAGGTTCCGTTTACGCTAATGTTTTTCTTTTTTGACCTGAAACGCCAGCTGCGGTTTTGGGTCAGGGTATGATGCAGGAAAACGTTTACTGACACTCAGTTCCCATACAGAATGCATCCGAGCTAATATGATTTGTATCACAAATGTTTATAGAAATTCTTTTGCGGGTCAGTATATTTTCAATTTGAAAAGACCATATAATATGTCCATTCCATTTACAACTTCAAGTCACATTGTCCAAAACAGTTTTACACACTTTCATAAAGGTCATCTGTCTGAGTTTTGTGCTTTCTGAGAAAAAAGAATATGAATATTGTTTATTGTGTTGATGAACTTCATTAAGTGTTTCAAATACCTCAAACCTGCAAGATTTCATAAGGCTATTACAGATTTTTCTCCATACGAGTTTTTGATATTTTGAGTCCTATTGTCCTGCTAGACATCATCCGAAAGCTTATCCCTTCAACCGGTGACGAAATCAAAGTTCACGGGCAATGGTCGGCCAACGGTCGGACAACGGCATTGAGCTCTATTGAACCTTCCGTCCTGGTGACTTAAAATTTAAAGTCCGAACGCAACAAGACTTACCGTCTTAGCTTTAACTTTGAAAGGTATGGTCACCTTGGCACCTGTAGTGGATATATGTAAAAGGAAGGGTGTCACAAAAAACATGGCAATACCTGGGTATGGAATGAGAGCAGTGGTATTAGTCTCTTCATACATAACGACAATTCAAACGTAATCACTGTGCCAGTTCTAATAATTTCATACGTTTATATAACGCGCATGTACATCATAATAATAATATTCTCGGTGCCTTAGGTTTGGTACCTCCCAATCTGTTGTCTGACATTGGGAGAGTACCAGGGTTTGGTACCAGGAAATACAGCCCTTCTGACATTCTGGGTAATGCAGAAGACTGCAGTGTCGGGGAGTCTTCACATTCCCCGAAAAGTTCAGGGTGGGTTTGACTAGGTACCTGTCCCATTCGCTGTCTGGGCTGCGTGTAGAGGGGGTGCGTGTAGAGGGGGCAAGGGCCCTGAGCTGATGATGAGCCTAACCAGCCTGACTGTGCCAGGATCACCCAAACCCTCTGTGCTGCATTTTTTTTTTTTATATGTACCATGTTATGTTGATCACACTAGTGGGGCGGTTAAGGCTAAAATTGTACACTTTGGGTTAAAAGCACCAAACTTGGCACACTTATACATTGAACCATTCCAAACATTTCTGGATATGGATCCATCTCAGCAGAGCCCCTGGTTGTAGAAAATCCAAGATGGCCGCCAACATGGCTGAAATCTCTAAGGGTATCAATATATACTCAATATATCATACTTAGCTGATACATTTATGCATATATCCATATTAATGCACGCGGAATGAATTGCAGCAGAGGTGTATATAATTCAAATATAGTTTGCAGCACCCCCTGGTGGTGATGAAAGTCCAAGATGGCCGCCGACATGGTTGAAATCTCTACTGACTTTAGTCTATACTCATTTATCATAATTATCTGGTCAATTCATTCAATTTATCACAGTATCTTTTTTCAGGATCAATTGCAACAATGCTTTACATAATTCAAATCTGGTGATGACGAAAATCCAGGATGGCCTCCAATATGTTTTAGTTTTCAGAAATTGTCTATGTAGATATAGATATCATTTGATATCTTTGGACTAAGGATCAGTTGATAAGTTTTGATACACGTGTTTGGAACACACGTGTCAGGCAATCGGTTTCAATCGATCAAATTCTATTGAGAACCATGGGCGTGTTTCCATATATATTATTTTGATAAGAAACTGATGTTTTTCTCTCCACCAGGTGATGTTGATCACACTGGTAGGCGTATTTCAGACAGGGTGTCAGACACAATATTTGCGAAACGAAATCATACTTCGCTTATAATACAGTTCAAAGCACATCTCTTACCACATCGAACAGATAATATGCAAAAGTTGCCTTTATGTTATCAAGTGATGTAAACGAACTCCGTCAGTGGTTACTGTATTGTTGATATAATTAGAACGTAAGTGCCCGGCATTTCGTCCAAAGGGAAAGCCTTATATCGTGTACACATTACAAAGTACAGTAAACCCTTAGAAATGCAAAAAATACGGTACCTCGTCTCAACTTGAGGTTAATCATCTGTGGTTCAATGGGACGGTTTCGTCTGATCTCCCGTGCCTGCAATCGTACATGTGTTACGGGTGATTAAATCATGTCAGCAATATTCCACGATTGTCCGGGCTGTACATATACGAACCTGGACCCAGCACGCCAGTGATTAAACGCAAAGGTAACGCTCCACAATGTTACAACGGCATACATTCAGCTGTCAAAGAGCCTGACCTCAAGACATATCGGCTCTTAGGACCAGCGTGAGGTACCGGGACATCATCCTGAATTTCCGCTGTATACCAATGTTTTGTCCTTATATCGACTATATATAGAATACTAAACGAGCTTCCATGTAATACCAATTTTATGAAACGAGTGAGTAATTCTGATATTACTCGCCCGTGAAGAGATCACCCGTTATCAGAACCTCCACGTAATATGTGTAATTTTGTTACATGATCCACGGCGAAACAATGCCATGTGACGTCATCCTAGAAACAGGGTTGCTGGGGTCATCAAGTGTGCATAAGCTCCTCTCAGTGATCTATCATCTCTACAGGCAATGTTGGGAGTTTTTCAATATTATGAAACATAAGTACGCACTTTGGTGTTACACAATGTGTAATACAGATGAATGTTTATAAAACGGGTGATGTCTTCTCGGGCGAGTAATACAACAATGACAGATTCAATGTGCCTGAATGTTCATTTAGTTCCAAGGTGTTCTTAAGCTGACATAGCAGGTTTTAAAGTTTCTTATGTTACGCTCCCAAACATAAAACTTATGTCATTTTTAACATGTGACTGTCATATGAGAAAGATATTTATGTTAATATAAGTTACGTAATACCTTTGTAACTACCATCGACGTCCGTTCTGGTGAAACAACGTGTTCGTCAGGACAGGTTGAACCCTTCTTCATCTTCGATAAGGGGAGGCATCGCGGTCCCCGTAAATAATTCTGTTGATAAAAAATAGTTGTGCCAATTAGACAGAGCTTGGCTCTTCGATATCCTCGATTATTCAGTATATAATATATCCAATTTATTACAGTAATTTTCTCTGGACCCTTTCGCTACTATAGCTTCTTGTCGGAAGTTGCGTCACCATGTCCACCTCTCCTATCACTTAGCTTGGACATTATCTCGCCCTTGAGAGTAATTACATTCGGCAGTTATTTGCTCAAAATGAAACTATGCTTCATTGTCCGGAGTACTATCATAACAGAATGGAGACAAAAATACACTTGATAAGCGAGGTAGGCATCATGAATGATTGAAAGGCTTGATTTCTTTTATATGTACTTGTTATGTGGCAGTAGGTTTGTACAGGCAGGAGTGTTGATTGTGAGTGGCAACAATTTGATTGAGGCGCTGGTACAATGTCGAGTTTTGATAGTGACCTTAAGTGAGTGAGTGAGTGAGTATGATTTTACGCCGCTTTTAGCAATATTCCAGCAATATCACGGCGGGGGACACCAGAAATGGGCTTCACACATTGTACCCATGTCAGCAATCGAACCCGGGTCTTCGGCGTGACGAGCGAACGCTTAAACCACTAGGCTACCCGACCGCCCCTAGTGACCTTGAGAGCCACTAATTTAGAGTGATCTCTCTAAGTTGTGGTTGTATATAATCCAAACTCCGTTTCAGCGCTTGGCACCTACGTTACCCTCCCAGTATAGAAAGCTGTAAGGAACTTGTTTATAGTTGTCGATTCAATGAATCCACAAGTAACAGAAATTGGGACCCGTCCCCCAAATTAAATTTGCTGAGAATTCGAAATTAGTACCAGTTCTGCCAGTATGTTTCAAACGGTAGCTTGGTATTAACAGTATTATAGTAAGGGGTCGGTTACTGACAAATTATTGAACATGATATCTGAAAGTGAACGATACTGTGCAGGTACACCACGAGGTGGCGCTATTCTAATAGTTACGCACCGGAGCGCTGCACCACGCGCACTTGACATTGGCGGTTATACATTCACTGCAGGACGTGGCGTCAGTCGGACACGTCGGCTTCTTGGGTACTGTGAACACAATAACCGACATTTAATAAACATTGAATATTTGCGGGTGTTCCTGAGTTGTTTGTTTTTGCGAGTCTAGACCAGACAATCTAGTGATTGGCATCATAAACATCGATCTACGCAATGGGATTCGATGACAGGCATCAACCAAGTCAGCGAGCCTGACCACCCGATGCCGTTAGTCGCCTCTTACAACAAGCATAGACGTCTGTTATGGCAAGCATGGGTGGCTGAAGACCTATTCTGCCCCGGATCTTCACAGGTCTTCTAAGTTGTACATGTTGGGAAAAGCCGTCGGTTCCAAGTAAAATCTCAATGTATCGAATATTTCATATCACCAGCCATTCGGAAAATAATGCTTATGCACATTGTGAAATATCAAAGTCCGTAGAAAAACTGCATCGAAGTGTCCTGCTCAATTTTGACACTCGTCGTCATGGTTATGCTGATGATAATCAGTTCATGAAAGTCTTCACACCTGGTGACTCAGCACAGGTGATAGCAGAATTGCGAATGTGCACATCTGCGATCCAGACATGGATGACACAGAATCGTCTGAAGCTCAACCCTGATAAGACCGAGGTCATACTGACTGGGAGTAGCCGATCTGTTGCATCAATATCCGAATCAGTCTTGACTGTTGATGGTGTTGATATCCCCTTTTCTTTGACTGTCAAAGACCTCGGAGTCATCATTGACCAAAACTTGACCATGGATTGTCAAGTAAACAATAACTGCAAAAGTTGCTACTTCCACATTCGAAATATCAGTCAGATAAGACCCATGTTGACATACGATGCGGCACATCAGCTCGTGAGATCACTTATCCTATCCAGGCTGGACTATGCCAACAGTCTGCTTATTAATATCAAACAGGATCTATGTAGCAATTTGCAACGGGTGCAGAATGCTGCTGCCAGATTGATTGTAGACGAAATAAGCGTGCACATGTCACTCATTTATTAAAATCATTACACTGGCTTCCAATAAGATCTAGGATTGAATACAAAGTCGTATGCATTGCATACCAGTGCTACTATAGTACAGCGCCTTCCTATCTGAGTGAACTTCTTACCCTGCACCCCCCAGCACGAGATCTCAGATCAGCACATAAACTCCAGTTTAGTGTCCCTATGGTCTCACTCAAAGCATTCGGCAACAGAACTTTTGCTCACACTGCATCTGTACTCTGGAATTCCCTTCCAGTGGAAATTAGGCAATCTCCAACTCTGGACACTTTCAAGACAACACTAAAGACTTATATCTTTAGATGTGTCTATGACCCTGTGTGAGGCGCTATGAGCGACTACGTAGACGGAAATGGCGCTGAAGAAATGGACTTTATTATTATTATTATTATTAATATTAAACACTGACAAAAATAAATGTCTAATTATTGTGGCATCCACTTTGCCATGTCGCATGTTTGTACAAATCTTGGACTGAGAAAAAATGCTACGCAGTGGATAATCCGACAGATTTCCGGTATTCAATCCCATTAAAACAATGTTTTTCAACTAATCAGATTGTAGCACAGACTCATATACTTTACAATCACATCGAGAGAGTACAAAGTCATTGTACTGCAGGAGCCGGGATTTGTGAGTCAATGAGTATAATTATTGGAAGCGGTGCCTGGATTGGGTATGTTTTTGATGAAAGCGTCTGCTCATCACGATGAAGATCGATTTATGGCTGCTGTGTGTGAAGTCCAGTTTAGATGTCCCCGCCATATGGTTCACATCGCTACATTTGGTGTAGAAGCATACTCACTCACTCACTCACTGAAACATGATGCGTCATTTTGGATCTGTTCTGACTCAAACGACAGGGAGTTGGGTTTTACGCCGCTTGTAGCAATAGTTCAGTAACATTATTTCGCGGGACACTAGAAACGACCTTCACATATTGCATTCATGTGAAGAATCGAGCCAGGCGCTCAGCTTGATTAGTGAACGCTTTAACCACTAGGCTACCTCACCCCTTTAGGGAAAGACAATGTAACAATGAGAATATAACATATTTGTACCTGCAAAACTCACTGTTGTAAGCAGCGTTAAGACAGCCAAGATGTCCATCTCTCTTGTCTCCGGTGTCGACGTACACTGACATAGTAATCAAATATGTATGGTTATGTCATGGTATGGTTTGATTGACGCTATGAAGTAATGCTGGGGAACCGTAAAGGTCTGCTTCAATGTAGTACAGAATATGGAGAATCGCGTCAATAACTGACTATGTCTTACATATAGACACTATTGTAGGTGTAGTTTTAGTGTAAATATATTTGTAGTTATTGCCAGTGGCAGCAGAATATTGAAATGCTGGTAAAAATATCAAGAGCTCTCGGGGCCAGATTTGAACTGCTGTCAACATTACTCAAGTGGAACATTCCTGGTTTTGTGCAAGCGTGATTAGAGCTATCTGTTGTTAACATGAACAAGGCAGGTTTGATCGTTGGAGAGGTTTCGGGGACGGATGGGACAGTTCCTTAAAGTCTGAATGTATCGATATAAGATCGACAAGAAGGCAAGTAGAGGTTGACGTGTTTCTAATCTACTTGCCAAGGGCGGTTAGGATACCTATCCGAAAACCTCGAACTCCTCTCAGCTTCCAACACTATTCTGGATTCAAACACGGAGAAAGGCCATGTTACGACGTAAATTGTAATAAAAAGGTAAATTGTAATACTTGCAGCAAATTGTAATAATTTTGACGTAAATTGTAATAACAACGTAAATTGTAGTAACATTTGACGTAAATTGTAATAACAATTGACGTAAATTGTAATAATCTCATATATAATATAATTCCAATGCGTTTGTATATACATATAATTATACAACAATGTACGATAACGACCTCAATCCTCCCCAACACCCATACTTTAATGACGATTGTACGATAAACCCTGTACCAACCCTGACAAGGATAGGTTCTAGTCATTTAACGCCTTTGACACTAAACTTATATGGTAATTTCAATTTACGTTAGAATTTATTACATTTTACCGCATAGAGACTATTATAATTTACGTCAATTTTTATTACAATTTACGTATTACAATTTACGTCAAATATTATTTCAATTTACGTTGTTTTTACAATTTACGTCAAAATTCTTACAATTTGCTGCAAGTATTACAATTTACCTTTTTATTACAATTTACGTCGGAACAGGCCTGTTTCAAGACATCCGACAGTGGCAAAATGCTGAACATTCGTGAGTGTACTTACACTAGTTCTCGGGTCGGCTACTTATTGGTGCCGACTCTTATTTCACCCACTGTGTTGTAGTTTTGATTGTAAACCTGAAACTGTATGTTGAAAGATAATTTATTGATTATTCATTGACCTGGTCATTTACTGAGTTTACAGTTTAGTTCTGTACGAACCGATTTCTGGGTTAAGCTCTGCGTTGTAGTTTGGAAATCACTGTACCTGGGCACTTCACAAACACAGAATCAGGTGTATTTGATCTGTTCTATTTACATCTGCCAAACATTATTTCATATCCCCGACTTAAATTTAGAACATCAAATCATTATCTACCTGTAGAATTTGGCAGATGGCATGGTCTATTCCGAGAGGACAGAACGTGCCATCTCAGCAAAGAATTTCATTTGCAATTTTAATGTAAGGCCCTCGAAAATGAAAAATCCATATATTTTGATAAATATCATTATTTATGGTCCGCTTTAAGTAAATATAAACAACTTTCATAAAAGAAATAAAAGGCACTGCAATCAGGTCTTCGTTGGTCTTGTGATACATCATTAGCGTTTGATTCTATCGCTTAAGTAATTCAGTTTAATGGTTGTCATCATTTCTGAGTTTATCAACACAATGACAGCTGACCTGAATCAGCTGTGCTTGTTTCCGTCATCCCCACGGTAATATGCTTAAACTATCAACACCATACTTAATGTGCTTAAACTGTCAACATCATAGTTAATGTGTGGTGAAATGAGGCCGCAACGCAAAGTGGAACTAAATTAGCAAGCATATTTAATGTTTACAGAAACGCCCTGAGAATATCACTTCCAGATGTCAGTTGCTTTCAAACTCGTCCAAAGCCAAATGTGTCAAACATGTAAGTCCTCTGGATAAATATTATATACACTGAATTATTGTATATTGGTGTATATTGTAAAATAATAGTCTGCTGCCATGTAACTTAAATATACATATTTATGTATGATCTTCATAAACGCGAGGAGAGTTGTGTCTGTGTCCATAGCAGCTGTTACAGCCCTCATTGCACATAAACCACACCAGGTGACCCCGAAACAGGAAACTTCATGTATGTCTTTCAAAGTCGTTGTTGATGAGTTTGACTGGTTACATGCTGTGTGTTTGAAAGCATATTTAAATCAAGGAAACGTCACAACAGTGACATGACGCTCTTTGAAACTGTCCCCAGTATTTACTGTCACAAGATAATGACTGTGTTCAGTCAATACAACCATGCATTTAGTAAACAATGTATATATGTCATGCAAATTGGTAATTACAACTGAATACATTAAATGTAATACATCAATACATATTTATTAAGTCATTTCCAGAATTATTCCTTTCTGTATTGAACAGAGGTGTACTGTTCCATTTGTTTTGAATGTAAATATATTTGTACCATATCATGGACACATTTGTGCAACTGATGATAAAGTTCTTTTACGGTGGTGTGGAATTCCAAATATGGATTAAACATTTGATTAATCCTTTCTTTCAAACGCCGTAATACAGCCATATAATACCTACTGGGATAACTCTTTCTTCCTAGCGCCGTATAACAACCATATAATACCTACTGCATTAATCCTTTCTTTTTAGTGCCGTAATACAGCCATATAATACCTACTGCATTAATTCTTTCTTTCGAGCGCCGTAATACAGCCATATAATACCTACTGCATTTATCCTTTCTTCCTAGCGCAGTAATACAGCCATATAGTACCTACTGCATAAATCCTTTCTTTCTAGCGCAGTAATACAGCCATATAATACCTACTGCATTAATCCTTTCTTCCTAGCGCCGTATAACAACCATATAATACCTACTGCATTAATCCTTTCTTTTTAGCGCCGTAATACAGCCATATAATACCTGCTGCATTAATTCTTTTTTTCTAGCGCCGCAATACAGCCTTATAATCCCTACTGGGTTTATCCTTTCTTTCTAGCGCCGTAATACAGCCATATAATACCTACTGCATTAATCCTTTCTTCCTAGCGCAGTAATACAGCCATATAATACCTACTGCATTAATTCTTCCTTTGAGCGCCGTAATACAGCCATATAATACCTACTGCATTAATCCTTTCTTCCTAGCGCAGTAATACAGCCATATAATACCTACTGCAGAAATCCTTTCTTTCTAGCGCCGTAATACAGCCATATAATACCTACTGCATTAATCCTTTCTTCCTAGCGCAGTAATACAGCCATATAGTACCTACTGCATTAATCCTTTCTTTTTAGCGTCGTAATACAGCCATATAATACCTACTGCATTAATCCTTAAGTTTCTTTCTAGCGCCGTATAACAACCATATAATACCTACTGCATTAATTCTTTCTTCCTAGCGCAGTAATACAGCCATATAGTACCTACTGCATTAATCCTTTCTTTCAAGCGTCGTAATACAACCATATCATACCTACTGCATTAATCCTTTCTTTCTAGCGCAGTAATACAGCCATATAGTACCTACTGCATTAATCCTTTCTTTTTAGCGCCGTAATACAGCCATATAATACCTACTGGGTTAATCATTTCTTTCAAGCACCGTAATACAAGCACCGTAATACCTACTGCATTAATCCTTTCTTTCTAACGCCGAAAGACAATCACATCATACCTACTGGATTTATCCTTTCTTTCTAGCACCGTAACATAATCGTATACAGCCTGCTAGGTTAACCCTTTCTCTCCAGCGCCGTAATATAATCATATCATACCTACTAGATTAATACTTTCTATCATTTTCTTGATAAGCGAATACCTGACACATATATCTGAACAATATACAACACATTCTTGTGTACGAGTATTACCTAATGTAGTACTTCAGATTAACGTGGTCGTTTCATTACCATTCGTTTCATTACCATAGCAATAACTTAATGCAACAATGTCTATCATTACAGCAACACATACATATGCAAACGTACTCACATATACTGGGTGTACCTCGCGTCTTCAGTGATCATGTACACTCATTCAACGTGAGAGTTGCACCAAACATCCAGGGCAAGATGAAGTCCCTGGCCTTTGCTGCAAGTGGCTCCAAGTGGGTTGTCAAATAACGTGTTGCTCGTATTTGATGAGCTGAACAGCTGAAGAGGGAACACTGCTTGGGCCTCCTGAACTTGGAAATCTGAAACCGTTATAGCTCCGGGGCAATGGGCTTCTGTTGATGTTCTGCGATGTAAAGAATTTTTATGATGTAGTGTTGCGCATACAGTGGCGAGCGGGGTGCAGTAAAAACAGCTAGACTAACATCTAGTCTCTGAAATGAGCATATCTTACAGAAAAAACAGTTGTTCAGTTATCGTAATGAAAATATAATAAAAGGGAGCCCAGTGACTCTCTTCATTTTCAGAACAGCGCAAATCATAACATATCTATATTAACCAATTTACCGAAAACTATTCATAGCTATCAAAACTTTGAAAGACATTTAGAAGTGATACACCTAAGGAAGAACATTTAAAGATGTCAACTTCTTTATTATGAGGAACACAACGTTTTGGAGTACATGCTTACTCCTTCATCAGGTGAATGAAGGAGTGATTCACCTGATGAGGGAGTATGCATGTACTCCGAAACGTTGTGTTCCTCATAATAAAGAAGTTGACATCTATACAATTTTCGCCCTTATTATAGGTATATATGGAGTAATATAATTTTGCATAAATGCTACATAACTCAACTTCAGTTGCCACGGAAAGAGAGTCTGGACTGCAGTCTTTCAGTATATACAGCTGGCCCTGAACGCTCCACTATAACACTAATGAAACAATATACTCAACTACCGCCTTGTTCGTAAACTGCAGTGCTTCCATATGTGCTCACGGGGAAGATGGTCAGATTTGGGACGCATTCGTTGTTTTTTGTTGTATTTGTGTTTAAATATTTTTATTTCAATTCAATAGACATAAATCTAACAATGTTACATGAGGTATAAAAGTGTAGCATTTTATGGTATCTTAAAACCTGATCAGATATGTGAATATACGTATATTGGATTGACTGATAAGTTATATTAAGTAGGCTGATAATTCCTTCCATTTTCTGTCGAATTTATTAATACTACTATTTTTAATTGCGATGAATTGTTCTGTTTTACATACATATTTCGTTGTTGTTGATCCCTTTTGGGTTTGTTTTTTAAGTCGGCTACACGTAACAGTGTGTTTGTTATTTAACTGAGCAATTACACTAGGCTGTGGTATTTTGGCCGTAAATTATATTTAACAAGACTCCATACACAAGATGCGTGCTCAAAGCGCTAACGTTATGACCGCGGTCAATGGGTCATTTTCATTCTCAGCGCCCTGAGGAATGCACAACCCAAGCTGCGATATAAGGCTAATAGTTATTACGGCTGTTCAGGCTGCTATAACCCGCGTCAGGGCGCATGTTATCGCCAGCAGGCCGCGACTGAGCGGGAGAGCTGTTGGCCTGGTAGACTTACACGCCTCTAGTTATTCGTTATTAGTTTAAACCATGACGCGGGTCACAATACCATCTGATCCTGTCAGGTACCCAATTTTACTGCTGGGTGAACAGAGGCATATTTCGAACAAAGCCACTTGCCTAAAGGTCCCGTAAAGATCCGGGTTAGAATAGGTCTTCAGCAACCCATACCAGCGGAAAAGGCGACTATGCATGTGGTAAGAGCCTAAGGGGCGACTAACCGGATCGGAGGGTCAGGCTCCCTGACTTGGTTGATGCATGTCATCCCATCCCAGTTGAGTAGATTGATGCCCATGATATCAATCACTGGATTGTCTGATCCAAACTCGATTATTTACAGACCACAGTCATACAGCTGGAATATTGCTGAGTGCGGCGTTAAACAACTAAGAAAGAAAGAAACAAATAAACAAATAAACCAAGAGACCTTAGATTGTGTCGAATGTGCTCCTGTGGATACAGTGAATATAATTTTCTTGTAAAATCTGTATACCTGATAAATACTATATCTAGCATAGACAGATGCTGTCGACATTGACTGGAAGAGTCCTTCTACCATAGATAGATGCTGTCGACATTGACTGGAAGAGTCCTTCTACCATAGATAGATGCTGTCGACATTGACTGGAAGAGTCCTTCTAGCATAGATAGACGTTGTCGACATTGACTGGAAGAGTCCTTCTAGTATAGATAGATGCTGTCGACATTGACTGGAAGAGTCCTTCTACCATAGATAGATGCTGTCGACATTGACTGGAAGAGTCCTTCTACCATAGATAGATGCTGTCGACATTGAATGGAAGTGTTCTTCTAGCATAGATAGACGCTGTCGACCTTGACTGGAAGAGTGCTTCTAGTATAGATAGATGCTGTCGACATTGACTGGAAGAGTCCTTCTACCATAGATAGATGCTATCGACCTTGACTGGAAGAGTCCTTCTAGCATAGATAGATGATGTCGACCTTGACTGGAAGAGTCCTTCAAGCATAGATAGATGCTGTCGACCTTGACTGGAAGAGTCCTTCTAGCATAGATAGACGCTGTCGACATTGACTGGAAGAGTCCTTCTAGCATAGATAGATGCTGTCGACATTGACTGGAAGAGTCCTTCTACCATAGATAGATGCTGTCGACCTTGACTGGAAGAGTCCTTCTAGCATAGATAGATGCTGTCGACATTGAATGGAAGTGTTCTTCTAGCATAGATAGATGCTGTCGACATTGACTGGAAGAGTCCTTCAAGCTCAGATAGGTGCAGTCGACCTTGACTGGAAGAGTCCTTCAAGCTCAGACAGGTGCAGTCGACATTGAGGTGAGTGTCCTTCAAGCTCAGACAGGTGCAGTCGACATTGAGGTGAGTGTCCTTCAAGCTCAGACAGGTGCAATCGACATTGAGGTGAGTGTCCTTCAAGCTCAGACAGGTGCAGTCGACATTGAGGTGAGTGTCCTTCAAGCTCAGACAGGTGCAGTCGACATTGAGGTGAGTGTCCTTCAAGCTCAGACAGGTGCAGTCGACATTGAGGTGAGTGTCCTTCAAGCTCAGACAGGTGCAGTCGACATTGACTGGAAGAGTCCTTCAAGCTCAGACAGGTGCAGTCGACATTGAGGTGAGTGTCCTTCAAGCTCAGACAGGTGCAGTCGACATTGACTGGAAGAGTCCTTCAAGCTCAGACAGGTGCAGTCGACATTGAGGTGAGTGTCCTTCAAGCTCAGACAGGTGCAGTCGACATTGACTGGAAGAGTCCTTCAAGCTCAGACAGGTGCAGTCGACATTGAGGTGAGTGTCCTTCAAGCTCAGACAGGTGCAGTCGACATTGAGGTGAGTGTCCTTCAAGCTCAGACAGGTGCAGTCGACATTGAGGTGAGTGTCCTTCAAGCTCAGACAGGTGCAGTCGACATTGACTGGAAGAGTCCTTCAAGCTCAGACAGGTGCAGTCGACATTGAGGTGAGTGTCCTTCAAGCTCAGACAGGTGCAGTCGACATTGAGGTGAGTGTCCTTCAAGCTCAGACAGGTGCAGTCGACATTGAGGTGAGTGTCCTTCAAGCTCAGACAGGTGCAGTCGACATTGAGGTGAGTGTCCTTCAAGCTCAGACAGGTGCAGTCGACATTGAGGTGAGTGTCCTTCAAGCTCAGACAGGTGCAGTCGACATTGAGGTGAGAGTTCTTCAAGCTCAGACAGGTGCAGTCGACATTGAGGTGAGTGTCCTTCAAGCTCAGACAGGTGCAGTCGACATTGACTGGAAGAGTCCTTCAAGCTCAGACAGGTGCAGTCGACATTGAGGTGAGTGTCCTTCAAGCTCAGACAGGTGCAGTCGACATTGACTGGAAGAGTCCTTCAAGCTCAGACAGGTGCAGTCGACATTGAGGTGAGTGTCCTTCAAGCTCAGACAGGTGCAGTCGACATTGACTGGAAGAGTCCTTCAAGCTCAGACAGGTGCAGTCGACATTGAGGTGAGTGTCCTTCAAGCTCAGACAGGTGCAGTCGACATTGACTGGAAGTGTCCTTCAAGCTCAGACAGGTGCAGTCGACATTGACTGGAAGAGTCCTTCAAGCTCAGACAGGTGCAGTCGACATTGAGGTGAGTGTCCTTCAAGCTCAGACAGGTGCAGTCGACATTGACTGGAAGTGTCCTTCAAGCTCAGACAGGTGCAGTCGACATTGACTGGAAGAGTCCTTCTACCATAGATAGATGCTGTCGACCTTGACTGGAAGTGTTCTTCAAGCTCAGACAGGTGCAGTCGACCTTGAGGTGAGTGTCCTTCTACCATAGGCAGATGTTGTTGACAGTTTGCTGACGTGTTTTCCTGTCCTTTCCACGAACACCTGGCATCGTAACTTCTAGTATTTTTAGTGATTCATCAACACCTCCTACACATATTATCGTACCAATGTTCCCCACTTCGAATTGGTAAAACAACATGTTTATTTTTATACTCCCTAGTGACATAACCAATATATATTTTTAAATATTCGACATCTGATCCTTACAAGATAAGACTATAATATTATGTACAATATTGTGTTACACGTGTTATCTCTAACGATGTTCATGTTAAAGGACTTAGATAAAACTTAAACGAGAAAAAATAAGATATTAGATAAAGATACATGATGTTATCCATGTTCAGAGTTCCTGTAATCCTCGTCTGGGCGTTTTCAAAACGTGCAAGGGATTGATAAATGCCCTTTAAGTGCCCCACAAGAGTGGAAAGAGCCTTGTACCATGCATTGTAAAGATCAACAGAGATTGGTGCACGACCATGTATTCCGTGTGAATCAATCAAAGACAGCTCACACATTACAAATACAGCCAACAAAGACTTCTGGTTCATGTTACAAATAATTTCCAAAGTAAAGATACTTTTTTAACTCAGAGAACATACTCGTAACCATGGGCACCAGAAAAAGAAAGACCTCGCCTAAAAGCCTGATTCAGGAATCCCAACTTGTATGTTCTCCTTAACGGAAACATGAAGCAACAGAGTGAAAGACAGAGAGGGAGTGAGTGAGTTGGGTTTAACGCCGCTTTTAACAGTATTCCAGTTCTGTCACGGCGGGTCAGCGTAATGTGGGAGCAAAGCCCGAAGTGATGCCGGTCTCATACGTTTGAAAGACAGAGAGGAGGGTAGC